CAAGTGGGTGACACTAGGTTTCCTTTTAAGTGCTTTGTTTTAAAATATGAACATATGTCCAGTCATAATTCCCTTTAAGACCAACTGGTAAAACACAAACAGCAATTCTATACTAAAGCAAATGGAATGACACGATCAGGAAGCAGCCCTGGCTGCCTATTGTAGTGGCAGCTGCAGCTGCTGGGGCCCTTAGGCACCTGCTTGAGGATCATCATCCAGCAACTCAAGCTGTATTTTACTCGGATCTGACCCTGCCATCAACATAGAGCTTGTGCACCGGCTTGCTTGTGTCTGCAAAGTTAAACGTCACGCGCAATATGCAATTCCCATACACAAAGTTCATCGCGTGGCCAAGGTGACGTTGAACCATTTTCCTGCCGTCGGTGCCTGGAATATTCGCCGGGCAAAGCATCAGAGTCCGCAACGCTTTCGACGCCTTAATTGTTTCAGGATGACGCACATGGGAGGAAGGCTGTGGAGCTAAAAGACTTCCGATACAAAGCATGCTTGGCCTTTCTTGGCCTTCTTGTTGTCTTGTTGAATTTTAATACGGGACCCCAATAGTAGTGGTTGTCCTTCTAGTTTCCCTTTAAAGCCACCAAAAAAGGGGAAGCCCCAAAAAAGAAGGCACACCCATTTGAACCCCCCCACCCAAAGGCTCGCCAAACTTCTAATCCTTTGGGATCTTTGAGGTAGGGTCTTTGAGCCTAGCTCCCTAAGCGTTTGGCGCTCATTCCACTTAACTTGACATGTGTTGAACGTGGTCAATCTGGGTGTTTACATCCGGGGTCCGGATGTCAGACTCACTGGCAATTGGCAAGGTGCCTGATATGAAGAGGGAACATGAGGAACCCTGTTGTGGTGGACTCCGAAGTTTCCAGAAATAGGTCCCAAATCACCCCCCTCCCCCATTTTTCTGTTTTGTTTTTGGACCCAAAGTGGTTGATTCCTACTAGAATGATGAAATGCCAGAAACTGGGCAGTCGATGCTCCAGCAAAGCTTGAGGGGCCTAGCACTTGGTCCACTGGCAACCGCTTTTGGGGCATCTTCATCAACACAGCTGGGTCTAGCCGCAATGAAGAGACGCATCCGATATCAAACCCTCCCGGCTTTGGCTCACTGAATCAGTGTCCACAGGATGTGTCAGTGAACTTCGAGGTAAAAGGGATCCTTACTGAACCTTTGTCATAGCAAACACGAACTCTTTGTGAGGCCGCTGTTCAATTTCAACCCACTTCGAAGCTTACAACCATGTGTGATGAAATGGGAGCCGTGTCCTTATAACAATTGTGTCAACCCCTTTTCGAGCAATGCTAAGCAACATATTGACCATCTCTTGTTAAATTCAGATGGAGTTGTCTTTGCAAAATGATGATCAGAGGACCTGCTTCCAAACCATTGCCCCTGCAGGAAAACAAGAATCCGCCCACAAGCTCCAGCAGCAGGAAGCTATGGGGGGTGGGGTTCCTCAAAATGGATTTCGGTCGCCTTTTGGTAGCAAAAAGGGAAACCACAAGGAAAGTGAGAACTTGCGAGTTGCAGTGATCGGCAAGAAGCTCTAACAGCCACAAAGAAACCCGCTGTTTTGGGGGCGCCAAAGCCAATGATGAGCAACACTCATGGTTTTGTTTGGCTGAAACACTTCCATTTGCTTAAGCCCTTGGCAAAAATAAGAAACATCTCCAGTCTGTGATAGATTCGGTTGAAACCAAACATAGGAAAGTGAAACCAGACAGCGTATTCTGACATGCAAAACGCCTCAAATGGAAGAAAGCCAATGCCGCAAAGCGGGGGGCCGCGCAGAGGCGGAGGCCGCCAGGAAGTCCTGGGAGTGGTTGGGCGGCGGGGTGAAGGGACCCCTTTTGTGGCCGGAGGGAGGGCTTGGGGGGGGGGAAGGCAGGAGATTGCAATTTTGGAGCTCAGTTCTCCCCCATTAGGCCCCCTTGACACCTTGAAAAGATCCCTGAAATGGGGACTCACGTTGGTTCAGTTCTCACTGACAGCAGTGAACAATAGCCCAACGCAGCTTGACCCAATTGGCCCCTGCGCCCGGATTGCTTGATCCGAAGTGTCATCATTGGGACGGTCACCATCAAGCGACTTTGCTGCTTCAATCATTCGGCAAGGCTCAGGGGAAAATGCTAGCCTGGGGAGGTCTTGGGGACAAGTGGGCTAGGAAGGCTCATTCGGCAAAGTTCAGGGGGGAGCGCTCTAGCTGAGGGAGGTCTTACAGAAAGGTGAGGGGGAGTAGGTCCCATCGATATGAAACGCAACAAAGTGGGATGTGGGAACCGAATTTTGGGTCGCCCAAATCAGTCACAGTCAACAAATGCTGTCCCCAGAATGGGACACGGACAAATCTGTGAGTGCCTGTGGTTTTTTGTCGGCAAATTAGTGAGTTGACATATCCGAGTTAACCATACACTACGAAAGACTAACCGGACCTCAATTGGAACCGGTAGGGGCCTGTAACATGAGCAGATTTAACGACCGCAATCCGCGAAGACGGTGTTTGGCACTGGGCATCACCCAGGTTTGAAAGTGGTTGGACGTGGTTGGCGGTTGTGGCTGTGACTTTTAAAGAGGAGGCCCTCCCAAATGGTAAGCCGCGACTTGAATGACGTCCACCAGGGGTCCCCAAATGAAGTTCGCGTGGGTGTCTTTAGGAGAGGCACCCAGTATCATACAGGGAGCCCAGGGAGCCCTGGATAAACTTTCGCATGGGGAAGGTAGCGCCAGCCTTCCCCGCCTTCCCAACTGCTTGGCACTCACTTGGTACAATTCCCAACCCTGTCCGCCCAAAAGGGAAACCCGCAACCCGCTTCGTACTTGTCCCCACATATCAAACAGAATTGGTTGGCACGCTTGGCAAATGTACCCAGAAGAATTTAAACATTATCTACGATCATTGAACATTTCAACTGCAAACATGTGCCACATGTTGCGTAACCAAACGCTGACCGAGTACAAGAAACTAGGATTGGCCCGAAGCCCTGTTGAAACATGCTTAAGCACACAATTGCTTCGGCGACCTCCTTTTCGTTCGCCTTGAAAGGTCCTAGGCTCTGGTCGCTACGCACTCTGCAATCAATAGTTCCATGCGATTCACCCTTGGATATGCTCCGCTTTCCCGCCCCAAACAAACGAATTTGTAACTGCCACAGAAACCTTGTTGTTTTTTCGTTCCTTGAACCCGCTCAAAAAGAACAGACAAAACGACATCACCTTGTGTTGGTCAATGTTTACCCCACTGGAGGTCTTTGATTAGTTTGTCCTTAGAACACAAACCCACCTTTCAAACCCATTCTATGTCAACCCAAAAACATCATCCTGTTGAAACTTGAAACCGGAAAACACAACACTACCCAATACCGCTTTCTGCCATCAAATTAAAAGAACACCCAACACACCTGACCCACCAAAACAGGTCTCGGACACGTGCGATCCCCGATCGATCCATCCGCGATCCTGGCTGGTGGCCATAAGCCCCAGCAAGTCGCAGCCGCCCAGCAGCAGCAGCAGCGCCAGGGCCCCGAAGACCGCACACCTCGGGTTCCCGTCTTCGAGCCACTTGGGATCCGCGTTGCCGTGTCGTGCTACGGTTTCCCAGGGTTCAGCCGGCCGGACAAAAGGGATCAACTCGGCCTTGGGTGTGTCAAAGAGGATCCCGATAAAACCAGCTCAAACAGGAGGCCTTGAAAACAGTCATATATTACTCTATTCCCCGATCCTAGGCGGTTTGCCAAATTTTGAAGTTGAACACCAACAAGGCAAAAGTTAGATGGACCCCTGGAATGTGTGAAGAAAGGGAACGTGCTTGGGGACTTGTTCTTGGTGGGAAGCACCGCGCTCCTTCCATTTCACAGGTGGTAGTGGTGCTTGGTGTAACGCATCCCGGGGGGGTCAAAGGCTGGTATACGTCCATACTAGATAAGCACAAAAAGGTGGTGTTTAAAGCAAACAGAAGAAAACAATGGACCCCAGGTTGGTAGATATCCATATTAGAGTATGCGTCAACATAGTGGACAAACATGGGTTTTAAGCCAACGCCAAAAAAACAAAAACTGACACCGAATCAAGGAGTTGCTTGAGCCCGCTTCCATTCTTATCCATTGACCAGCCAAGGAAAATCGTGCAGCACGACTAGACTCTGAAGATCTCTTGAAACCTAAGCTTGCCAGGAATGCGCAGGGGCCAGATGCTGAAGCAGGGGGCCCAAAGAAGTCCCAGCGCATCCAGCGCCACCTTCGCGCAATTGCACTTGAGATACCAATCCACCAAAGGCTATGCCAAAGATCGCTGGGCAACCTCAGATTTGTGAATTGCAGCCATGTATCCTGGCTGATGGTCAAACCTTCCCAGGCTGGGCGCCCTTCTGCTTGTCCTCCCAATGGTCTTTGACCACGCTGATGGCTTCTTAGTTGACTAAAGGGATATTGCAAACGAAACACAACCAAAAACTGCGCCTTGAAAAGTTGTAATTCGTTGGTGATTCCGTTACACCGTTGCACCTGCCACTTTCGGAGGTCCAAAACAAGGAAACGGAGGAGCGCCTGGTTTTTCACGCATCCCCAAACACCCTAGAGCTACCAATCCAAGGATGTCGGACCGCTCAAGCCCATGATTTCCCCGCCAAGAGTACGGTTCTCAGTAAAGTCCGAAGACACTAGAAGGTTTAGGGGAGTTGGTGCTGATTCTTTCCTCTAGCCAAATGGGGCTGTTTCACTCAAAATCATCATTACCACCTACTTACTCCAAGTGTGGGTTCAGTGGGTTACAGAAGCATGGTTACCCACCAGGGTGGTCTCACATGTAAACACCCCAGTGGTTTTGTGCATCGTTCTTCACCTCCACTTTGATGCGACAAACCCCGGGGCCCCCGGGCGCAGAAGCCATCCGCCGCAGCCCCGCGCAGCGCAGAGGTACCACCTGCGCCGCGCTTGCGCCGCGCGTGCGCCGCTCGGACCGCGGGAAACACAAGCCAACAGGTTCGTGTGACCCGCTGAATTGGCTTTGGGTTCTGACACATGGGTTCCAAAAATCGGAGGCTGCGATTTTCCTTTGATGCAAGCTGGAACCTGCCAAAAAGGGTACCTCATAAAAGGACACACCCCTATTTTTGTGATCATCAGGACAAAAGACTTGGTGGCCAAAAGGGTGAAGGTGAGCAGCTGTTTTAGGGAAATCTTGGGCACTGACACGGCTAGTGCATGGAAGCCTGCAAATCGCTTGGAAAATAGATAATCAATTCCAGCTTATTTGCGTCCGTCCCCAGAAGCCAGCCAGCGCCCTCTTCTTTGGCGGTTTGGGAGGTAAGTACCTTCCCCATTTCGTGATTAAAGGTACTGGTGTTCAAATCCCAAGCCACTACCAACCAAAATTCCCAACTAAGAGACACCTCAAGTCAAGGATGAAGCATTGATTTTGAATGAGAAAAGTACCCCGAAACCCAGGACAAGCGCCAAGAACACCTTTCGGGTTGGGCGTCACCCGACCGAAACAAGCGACACACGCCGCAACAACAGGAAATGGTACCCTCAAAGAGAACAAACGTACCGAAGCTTCTAAGCTTAGTTGCCCCTTGACAAGGGAGGTCCTTTCCTGAGTTTAGCTGCGACACCAAGAGGATAGGAGGTGTGTTTTGGGGCCGTTTCAATGTTTCCAGGCAAACCAAAGCCAATGCGATTTCCTCGAATAAAACCTGGCTGCGGATTTCAATGGGGAATGCTCTCAAAATTGTAAGCATAATTCCCCTACGTGAATGGCGTCCGCCAAAGGTCCCTAGCTAAACTTCCCGCCCAAACCCAAACCCTAGGTGGCCGATGGACAAAAAGTGCTTCTTTGTTTTTAGTTTTTAGTAGTTGCTTTCTAAGCAAGACTTCCTCCAAAAAAAAACGTTGAAATGACGAATCTCGGTCCAACACCAGGGGATGAGTTCTCGACGCCACTGGACACGTCCACTTCCTGCGAAGAGAGAAGTCCCACGAAGAAGCTGCTCCGGAGAGTCGTCTTGTTTCCCAACGAAGTATAGCACCAAGATCGCCGCGGGCGGGTCGTCTAGGAACGCGGTGGGCGTACCCATGCCGAGTTTGGAGAGAGATCAGACAGCACGCCTCCTGGCCAGCTTGGATCCTGCATGCGCACCGCCAGGGCTGAGGCCAGAGTGAGGGCCTTGTGGACATCACTTGGAATGCCTGCCAACTCTAGGAAACAGATACGCGGCATTTGCGGATCTACCCTGCATATCAAAAGAGTACACAACATGACCAACAGTTGGGTGTCCTGTTTTTAGGGGCCACCCCAAATGGGTGATTTTGTGGGTTTTCTATTTGGTTTCCCTTAACACCACCCAAAAAACGCGCAGCCCTATGTAACTTCAAACATCCAAAGGAGGGACTTTCAATCAGTAGAGGCGCGCCAACCAATGCCCCCAAGTTGGCAAATAAAGCACATATAATACGTGTTTCTTCTTTTTCCAAAAAGAAGCATGTTGGTCCGACCAAGAGGATCTGCAAAGAGCACACACATACACGCGCACACACACACACATACATTCCTCTCAATTTCCTTTTTATGCCTTTGTAGCTCACTATGAGGTTACAACCTTAGCTTGGAGTCGTGGCCCTGGAAACTTGGTGGAACTGGGATTGTCACAGTGTCAAAACGGCCCAAGCTTTTGGTAGTTGATGACAACAGGACAAACCCTGGAAAATAACCATGAAGAGCACTGGAGAGCTGGGATACAGTACCAGCCTAGAACTGTGTAAGGCAGTATATAATACCCCAAAACTTTGCTTTGGCAGCTTCCCCAAGAAATGAACAGAACCACACCCGCAACAACTCAAAGGCAGGTTGGGACTGTTGATATCGCCTCCATGAATCAAAGGGCACCTAACAAGCGTCAAAAGGGGTTCTGCGATTGAGTTGAGTTGCCTTGTCGGGATAGAAAGGCCTACCGAACTGGCATTGCCCAAGGGGAACAACAGGTGATCAAAATGGGAACCCAAAAGGGAATTTTGTTGAGGTCAAACGGTCGGATTCCGAAAAGTGACGACATGGTGCTTGGATGTTCTACCAACTTAGTAAGTTGGTTACAGCAACGGTGATGAGGGGACCGACCCCAGATACCCAAGTCATATCCTGCTTACCAAGTCGGTTGGACATCCGAATGACATCCGAGTGACAAGCGTTCCGCACATCTCCTGCGGGCCTCGGGGATATGCGGCTCCAACCGCAAAACCTCGGCATCCAAGTTCCAACTTGCCGGAAGTTTCTTGGATGTTTCTCTTGAAGGAAGCCCGGCTTGGGTTTCCTTTAGGGGGAATCCAGACCTTCATTTGCTTTAGTCCCCTGGAAGCTATTTCCAGTAGTGATGCACCAAAAGGAAAACCACTGGCTTCGGTCTACCTACAAGACAAAGCCAATGCTCCCAGTAGCTTCGATCTCCGAGTGCTGGGCGGAACGCACCAGCTGCAGGTATTTCGTGGCCACCGCACGCCTGGGATGGAATTCGATTGGTGCACCGATGGGTAGGGGCTTCCCATGTACCCCGCGAACACAGAGAAAAACCTCAAGGGTGTGGCCCCAGAGCCGAAAGGACAGTGAGACTCTCAGTGAAACCTGACTATCTGCCTCTTGCGCCGAAAGTCTGGTGCACCACGCACCGACAGCTCCACGGAACCAGGAGAAAAGCGGCTGCTTGAATGGCGGCAATCGCCAAATTGATTTGCATCCCTACTTGCAAGTTTTGTTTTTCAGAGAGGTCCACTGGGCCTTGATTGAGGGTTGCGAGACCACTTAACTAGCTCCCGGATCATCTAAGAGCCGTGAATGATGGTTTGTGCACTTCTAGACAGGGCCAGACTGATCCGACTCGCAAAATGTTGTCTTCGCTCTCAACAGATCTAGGGGTACCTTCCCGATTCTTTCCAGGGATCCTTCATTTCAGGAAACCATCAAAAACCCAGGGGAACCGGCCGGTTGTTGAAAAGAATTATGATTGAAAAGAATGGGGAATCAACCCCTAGACCAGAGCTTGCTTCCCCTAAGCGAACATTTCAAGTTGCGGCACATCTTCCATTTGCTCTTCCGTGTGCCCGGGCAGGCCCTGCCCGATGGGCTTCATGCCCAGGGAGCTCCAAAACCTACGGCGCGGTCACGTCGATTCGAAGCACCAAGGCGAAACCAAGGGCTCGAGGTTCTTTGGGACTTTTCGGGCACTCTGAAAAACATCCCCAGGAAATTATCCAAATACAATAAACAGTAGGAGTTTGGGCTAACTTCCTGGATCCTTTCCTGGAGATGGTTTCTTAGGTGGGACGCTCAAGTCGAACAAGTGCCTGAACATGTCTTCGTAAGGGTTCTCGAAATCACGTTTGCCTTCTGGGGGGGGCTTTCCTTTAATACAACTATTTCGTGGGTATTATGTTGAGGATGCCACTTTAGCGGACCTGGTATAAATGGACCAGGGGAATTGGAGAACCCACCTCACTTTGCACGTCATTGGATGCGCCTTGCCCACGGCAAGTTGGGACGACTCCCAGTTCTACCAGCTTTGCTCATGATGCTCGGCCAAGTTATTGCGTGCTTAGTACCCCAGGGCTTCGCGACTTTCCTAAAAAGTGTGTCTGGTGTTTGGTCGGCCAAGTTAGGAAGTGGTCAACTAGGTCACCAACAAGGTGGCAACCAGGCCAAGCATTCATGAAAGTCATGACCACCATAAGTATCAGGGAATGTCAGGAAGCAAAGGGAATTAAAATGCTATGAGAGAAGCTGAGGAAATATTGGTAATGGCAAGCCGCGCATAAAGACAAGATGTCAGCACCTTACAACAGGGCTAGATTATAGCCCATTACCCCTAAATGGCTTGCTTTTGGTCTGGGGGGAAAGGTCAGGCTTTGACCAGATTATTTTCACCTGTTTATCTGTTCAGCTGTAACACCTGGCCAAAAAGTCAATTTTGTGAGCCAACTGAAATGGTCTTCCCATTGAGTCGCATACTTGGAGTAGAAGGGTGATTGGTTTGGAGGCGGTTTTAATTGATTCCGCCAGCTGCCCTGGTTTGGTACGCTTGTACTCTTGTAGCACCAGGAACTCGAGCGACAAATGGCCTGGTTTGAGGGCCAAAGGGCTGTTGTGTCATATGAGCCACCGCCAATCTTCATATGGAAATGTAGTGAGTCACCTCTATGTCCTAGGTGCAAGCTAGCGTTGGATTTTGTTAACCTGTCCTACTGGCGATTTGGGGTTATGACCTCCGGTTGGCATTCAAAGGAAAACCCAAAGTCAACCAACACATTTTGGGGGACTGATTGCTGCTTGGAGAAACACCGGTATGGGTGCTTCTCAAAATAGTGGTGCCCTAAATAGTTGGTTTCCTTGTAGTTCCCCTCAACCAGGAGGGGCGCAACTCCCATTTTGAGAAACACCGGGTTTGTCTTAAGGAGGTTTGACCCGTAAAGCTATGCCGAATATTTTCGGGCGCCGGCTCTTCCACCGCCGCCGGCATCAGCGAAGCGCTGCCGGCATCGCTGACGGCCGTGCCATTGACCGCGCCCTCGGTGAATCGGTGAGGCGATTCCGCGAAGGAAGCGGAAGTTGCATGGGAAAATCCTGGCTTCCAAGGCTCCCTTTTCCCGCATAAGTCCACCAGTAGTAGTGGAGAGAAGCTCGTCCAGTAATAGCTTCCCTTGAAACCAACAGGTGGAAAAAACATGGTACTCTTAAGCAATGGAAGTGTATGGATGTGAATTGTCAACGGGTCCCGGCCCCAATGGTGGACATCAGAATTCGGTGGAGATAAACATCCACCAACCAGTTTAAACTTGAAAATCATGTCCATAATTCCCGTGCAAACATCACCTACCAAGCGGAACTTACTTTGAATGGGGCAACCAGCTGATGTTTAAAGCCACTCAAATCTAGGACATAGAAGGAGCCTGGCGTTTGTAGTAGTTCATTTTTTTTAAGCCAGGGGATTACTGCAGGTGTTTGGTCTACCCTTCCATTTAATCTCCAGAAATTCCATTTGGGCTCCCATTTTTGAGCCACACCCAGTTGGGTAGGTTGTTTGTGAAAACAACCCTGTTTTGGTAGAGCGAAACTTCCTCTGGCTTCTGTGGTTGAAATTCAGATTTTGTCCCCCCATGTCCCCCATATCCTGAACCCCGAATGAGCCATAGACCAACTACTGGTGATTGTGACCAACCTCATTTAGCGCCACCAAACACCCAGACCTCCACTACCCCATGATGTTGTTTAGTCGGGAGCCTAATTGGGCAGGCTTTCTCAATACCAAAGAAAGGCCCCTGAAGGAACACGCCCCGAGGATTGACCCCAGCGATCTCCCCGCGTCTCACGCGCGGCCGCGGCCCGCAGAATCCGAGGCGCCGCCAGCCGCCGGTGGTACCGCCCCCCGCCGCTGCTGAAGGGGCACCCCCGCCTCCGAGTCGCTCGACTCGAGCGCGGGTGGACAGCCCAGACCGCTCTTTTCGGGTATTTCCATGGCCAAAGAAATGGCGCTGTTTGTTGGTTGAAGAGAAATCCGTTTAAGCAAGAAAGGAAAAAGAAAGCAACTCTGGAATTGCGCCCTTACACTGGCTCCGAAAGGCTCCCTGAAAGGGGAATGCGGCGAAACTCCCTTGACTCCCTTCAAAAAAAAACACGCCAAACAAATACCAGCCTGAACAAATTGGAGGAGGCAACCGAGCAAAAGGAACACTCAACACTCACTTTTGCCGCCAAGCATACGTCTTTCCAAAAGCAAGAACACTTCTCATATCACGTAACTAAGAAAATCCTGCGGACCAAAACGACAGCCAGGTAACCCAACTTTTGGCGCCACGCGCTGTTAGATGTGGTAGCCGAAGTGAAGGTGTTTGGCGCCACTAGGACGTCTATTGTTAGGGAATCCCCTTTTGGTTGGTTTCAATGGCAAACCAAAAGGAACACCATCGTTTTTGGGTTCCCCAAAAAGCGCACGCACACACACCCACTAGGTCCAAGGTACCCGTTGGGAGGTGAGTTGCAGGTTGGCTTGATGCTTGGCCAGATATGCAGGGAGCTCACTTACCGTCCAAGCTTCCTTTTTACCACCAAAAGGGTCTTCCCAAAAAGTTGCCCAAGTGCAGGAACCCAGGGAGTGAGGGAAGCCTCTCCCAAACACGTGAGAGCCAACATGCTGAACCTATCTGCCGATCCCTGGAAGACCATTTTCCTCGGCCCTCTGCTGGTCCGTTTTACCGACGGGGTGATGTAGTTGGATGTGGCTGACTGGACATATTTCCTGCCTTAGAAGCAACCCCCAAAGTCGCGTTGAGAACTGGCGCATTGGATAGTGCCACTGAATGGTAGGGGGATCTTTGGGCGGGGTGGTTGTGTTGGTCCCGCTGACTTGTGGTTTGTTCCCCCCCCACCAACAACAAAAAAACATCTGAGTCGCACCGACCGATGGAAAATAACTGACGCTAAGTTGAAGGATATGTTCATTGAAGCCGCGATATCCTGAAGTCGGCTATGGCCAACGCCTTCCTGGTTGGGGGCTTTTGGGGGCCTTGGGGAATAGGCAAATAACTTCCAACCCAAAGGGGGGTGCTTTCTCAATCCTAGAAAACTCCGAACCTTCTCGGGTCCTTGGGACCCCGAGCGCAGGCTGCAAGACGTGAAAGTCAAAGCCCGGAAGCTCGTCCCAGGTGTGAAACCTAGGCGAACTGCGCACGGGGGCGTCTGGGAGCTAAAAGGCCTGCAAATGCCATGATCCATTTGGTGCCCGGACAAAGTCAGAAAAAACTTGCATGATTGGACCCTCTATTGAAGGGGTTAGGACCGCCATTCGGTTTTGGACATCGAAACGGGCCTTTAGCATCCTGTCCGCAGATTTCAATTTTGTCGGGTGCTTCAAGCATCAGCTTTTGGACAAAAACATGATTGAGTTTCCTGTTGGGAGGTGCCTTTGTCGGGAACATAATGATAAGGAACCGCAACTTTCGGGACTCGGACTCCTTCATTTGCAATCAGCCGCAAACGGTTTTGCTAGGCTGGTGCATGGAAACCTCAACTGTTTGTTCGCTTGGAAACAATATGATGTGCTACCTGGAGTTTCCATGACCCTTTAAAACACAGATTCACGACCCCTTACTTTTGGGTATGGACCCCATTTGAAAAGGGTCGTCGAGACTCCAGGTACAATTAATTGCTAACCCCTGCAAATGTGCGAACAGTGCCCAAAACGAAGCCACAGCATCTGCTTGTGTGCATGCAAGGCACTGCAACAGCCCACCCAGTTGCAGCACTACAGGGCACTGGCAACAACCCCCATCAATTCGGAACTCTACTCTGCAAGTCAACAGTGGGCGTCCTTGCCCAAAGGACCTTCAGTAAAGGTTGACCTTTGGAACCTTGACTAATGGACCAAATCCGGGAAACCAAGCGGCTTCGGGCAGCTTCGCAATAGTATCCCGGCAAGTGGTAATTCAGAGATGAGGAATGGATCCCTATGAAAGGAATCTGCAGTAGTGCCGCAAACCCCCGAAACTCGACGTCCAAATTCAGCTTCCCTTTATTGAGTGGTTTGGATTGGTGGTTTGGTGGTTAGGGATGCATTTCCTCTAATTCCTGTACCCTCAACAAGAACCAGCGGGTCAAGTCCCTCAATCACCAACCCAAACCACTTTGAGGGGAACCTGACAAATAGTATTGCCAGTGACTCAAATGACACCAGGCCTCAAAAGAGTCGAAACTGGGCTTCAATCAGCTTGGCCGGACGCGCTTGTGCTCCTACATGGATGTAGGTTGCCCACGTCGGGTAAGGCACAGGCATCAGTCATGTTAAAAACAACTGCCATTACTTCCCCTGCAAAGAACAAACACACTTGTGAGGGCCGTCTTGTGGCGAACCTCGAAACTTGCTTGACATCAGTTGTCCTTGGGACGATCAACCTGGAGTCAAAGTAGATGCCACAACTGTCTTTATGTGGGTAAGTAGGACACAACCAAGTCGGGTTCGGATTCAATTCGCCGTCTACTTTCACCCACGGTTCTAACCAACTTTTTGTCATCGTTCCCTAACATCCCACACTGCAGGGCACAAGCCACTCAGTTGCTCAGAGCAGAGCCCGGCAAAACGAAGCGCTGCTGCGCGCTAATTGGGCGGCCAAACAAACTATGTCGATGACATGTCCTGTCAACAGGGTTCAGCTTCCGCATGGCTTGGTGAATTGAATTTGAGGTTTGGAGGTGGGGGGCGGTTTCCCATGCACCCTTTGAAGCAGCCAGGCGTTCAAACTCCACCACCAATCCAAACCACCAACTAGGGGATGTCTGAGTCTGCGGCAGAACAGGTTTTTACGCAGAAGCCCTCTGGTGGGTTCCATAGCATCCATGGCAACGCCGGTGATATTCAGAACAAGGTTCACTATCTTGAAACCACCAATTATCACTTGCCCACGCGTACGTTGGTACATACCTCTTTCTTTCAGTTGACAGCATACCCTGACGAATTGGCTGTTGGCAGTTGGGGCTGCACCTTCAAAACGGTTCTGAAACACTCGTCGCCAAGGCCGCGGTCTGGGCGAACTGGCGAGCTAAGCAGCTAAGCTCCCCCACCCCTCGAGGCAGGAAGTAAAACCATCTTGGTAGCCCCGGTAAACCTGGCCAGAACGCAAGGCGTCTGCGAAGCGCTGAAGGAGGCGAAGGGACCGCCCGCCCCCTGTTCTTGGGCGAAAAGGATGGCAACATGCACTTCTTGGGAGTGCGCTACTTTTTGTTTGGTGTTCTTAACGGGTTGCCCTTGTTTAGAACCTGGAGTTTCCCTCAATGAGGTTGCTCAAAAGAAAGGGGCCATGACTCATAACCCCATTTTCACGGGTCAGAAGGAGACTCCAGCTACGCATTTTGGGCTTTTCGCGGGCTGTCCTCTTTAGAAGATTTTCCCCAAGGTCAAGAGGCCCTCAACGGGGTTCACTTTTCAGGACCCTTCTTGCTGCACAGGAAGAACAGCATGCGGGGACACGTTGCAATCAAAAGGCGCCACTGGATTGAGGATTCAATATCGAGGATTGAACAAACAACAACTTTCCTGAGAATCATCCATCCTGGTCAAACCCTAAAAATGATCAAGTTGCCTAAAACTTCGAACGTGTTTACCACTAGATTGAAGATTCGAGATTGAACAAAAACACGGAAAGCTTTTCCGAGAATCTTATTGAGCACCGAGAGTATTGGGACAAACCTGGATTTAAAAAAATAATGGGATTCAAGATTCAAGATTCCCAGACAATATTATTTTGAAATATTGAATCTTGAATCCGGGAAACAAAAAATGGGATGCAAGATTCAATATTCCAGAATTCCAGAAAAGAGTAGTTGAAATATTGAATCTTGAATTCCATATTGTCACATTGAACGTCTCCCAGCAATCTTGAGTCCAGAATTCTTAATTGTAGAATTGTGGCACGCTCCCTTCCTTGGTGCCCAAGTTTGGCCAACAAATCAAAATTACCTGAAAAAATGACTGAAATCAAACAAAACCCAGGCACCAGGGGGGCGGGTACCATATATATATATATATATTTATACACATATATATATACATATATATATATATATATTTATATTCATGCCCAAAGCCAGTAACCCAGGTTCTCCCGAGTCGAGTTTGGCTACCACGCGATTTGCACCAATCTCGCCTCAACTCTCTTCCCTTCGCATCCCCCTGTATCCGCCTCGTCGTCGACCGTCATGGCGTAGCCAATGCCTAGGAGTTTTGTTCGGGCAGACAACGGAAGGCCTTTTGTTGGGACCCTACGTTTCAACGCCAATTGAAAAAAACTATGGACTCGATTTAGATGCCAAACATATCCGCATGGATACAATGCTTTTTGTGGATATATCATACCGTTTTAGAGGTATCCATTGAAGGGGGCTGTTCAGAAGCAATTCGAATCCAATCCCTAGCAGAAAGCCACGACAAAGTTAGATTGCATTTGAACAACGCAGAACAGGGTGCGTCTTAGAATTGAATGGGGACCCCTCCCCCTTGAAAAGAAAGTTTCCTTTTGCCGTGCCTTCCACACTGCTCCAAAAAGGGTATATCAAACACCGACCCGGCTACACTATCGGCACTCGACCCGCCGTCTTTGGCCCCCGGCAGGCGCCGGCATCATCCAGCGCAAAGGCAGGAATGCCCTAGGCGGGCATGCCAAGCACAGGGATTCCATGTCTTCTAAATTGGTGGTGAAAGAATGACTGCAACAAAGGATTTCCTCTTTGCATGCTAAAGAAAACAAAGAACTGTGGATGGACAAAACTCTGCAGTACCTGGGATGGATGAAGCCTACAAATATTTGGACAAACCACCTACCAGCTGATGCAGGATGCTGTCCATCGTGCATTATGTTTCGGGAACTGTACAATGCATACAAGGTACAGAGTAAAACACTCCAGCAACTCAAACTCTTGATGTTCAAAGGGCCCACAAAGTAAACATGGACCTCCAAACGGAGACTCATCTCATGATTGAATCACCTGACGCAAAGTCGGGAACCCTCGTCAAGCCGTTTCTTCAGAGGACTTGCACACCCCAAAACATGATGCCCTCATGGACAGCGGCAACAAACCAGTGGACCTCCCTGGTTTTATATGCTGTTGAACTGCTGAACCCAGTGCCTCCAGTTACCAGTATGTGTTCTAGGTAGGGTGTTGCACCCTAGGTTTCCTCATTATTGTTGACCCCGCCCTCAACAAAGACTATCCTCATCTGTCCTCTTCCCCTCCTGTTTCTCAGCCAATACTATCTTAAAGGGACCCACAAGGTCTTGGCCATCCCCCAGCAGTTTTTGGCACCCACCAAAACACCCCCCTAACAAAGACTGTCCCCTTGCCCTCCCCCAACCAAAACAACACACGCAACGAAATGGAAACATGTATAGAACTGCAAAAGCTGTTGCCAGTAACCTACCAATACGACTAAATTTATTTCATTCTCTCAAGGATTGTTTCTCGCAAAGCAGAACAAATAACCATAGCCGGAAACTGCAAACTTAGTGTTACATGTTAAACAGCTCACAAAGGCTACCCCCCCTTCAAGGACGGGCCCACTCCAAACAATGCAGACCTTAAAGTCATCCTAGCACTCTCGAAGCCTTCCCAGCCCGGGAAGCACAACAAATGCAGGTTTCTTTCACTTTCCTACAGGGGTGGTCAATTCGCCAAGCTAGCAAGTTGTTAGTAACCTAGGTTTTGAACCACATATCTTTCAGGAGCTGAAAAATCCAAGTAGCCAACCACCTTGTATATTAACTTGGCTGATGCCGTCCTATTGGCCGGACGTAGGGGACCAGAGAGCACCCGAGAGGGGGGACAAGGGACACTTAAACATCCTCTGACCCCCGACCTTCCGAAAAAGAATGTTTCCCTCCAAAACTCGCAGCGAAATCGTCGTACTCCGCAGTCGCTTTCTGAGACTGGGTAAGACGCTGGAATGTACTTCACAACGAGGAACACGTGGGTGATTCATTGATTCCAAGCAGATGTCAAGAGGACAACGGCTACACTCACAGGATTTGCCACCCCTGGTATCCAGCCGGTTGCCTTTGAGGTTTTAAAGGGTACTTGGTTACCTTCTTTCGGGCGAGCAGCTTCAGGATTGCCCCACAGCCACTCCGACTTTGCAAAGACAAGCGAGACATCTTGAAACCTGGTTCCAGACCTCCAAGCACATCAATGACCACTTTGAGGGGGGACTCACTCCTTGAGTGGCCAGAAACAATTCCAAATGCAACAACGGTCGTCCCAAAAAAAGTACAATCCAGGAACTCAGAGACAGAGAGTGAGGGGAATCCACGCATTTTGCCAACAAGGCAGCCTTGAAGGTATAACCGCCAGGACGTAAGGGGAAATGGGCATCACGTTGAAACCCTGCTTGGGATTGTATGTTGCATTTTCTTAACACACAAACAGAGACACGCAGAGACGACCAGTTTGCCTTCACGCTCCAACCCGGCGGCCCCAACCGCCGCCCCTGAGCGATGCGGCGGCACTTTTGGCGTGCTCCGCGCAGTCCATGGCGTCCAGGGCTGCGTCCGTGAGGAGCTCCCCCCGCCTCAGCCGGCCGGCGAAGGGCGAAGGTCGTGAGGTGCGGGCAGAGCCGCGCTTAAACAGGGGGGGGGTTGTCGATAATGGGTGCGAAACACAATTAGGGCTTCTGAGGTGGTGGGTCTCGTTTTGGGTTCCCTTGAAAACCATCCAAAAAGGGGTCACTTATGACAGACCCAACCGCAACAGGGTGAAAGTAAATAAAGGGGGATGACATCTAGTTTCACCCAACCCTCTCTGTGCTGCCAAAGTGGGATTCCCATCCCATTTCTGTATTCTCGCTTTCAAGAACACCCCCTACTCCAAATACCTGTTCTCAGGGCAGCATGATGTCAACCCCTGACTAAAAAAGGATGTTTTTACTGCGGAAAACCAAGTTTTTCCAATATACCCTCAAACAAGCCGACAGCAAGGGCCCTGAGGCCCAATTGTCCAGAACTATGGTTGGGTGGCGTGTGGCTCCCATGGGGTGGGACCCCAAAATGAAAAATGGCAATGGTGTCCTTGTTGTTCCCTTTTGAACCACCCAAGAAAACACACACACACACACTTGGAGTTGGAGTTGGATTGACTCTTTGTTTTGATGGACAGTAAACTGGCAAGGGCTGTGTACCAGAGTTGCCTTCTTGGCTGAACATGATGGGCGGAAACAAACGACCTGTGCAGGATTTTTTGTCGGGTTTGCACAGCTTGTTCAGCCCCTTCTCGCTGGAGAGTGTACTACACCATGCGTCCTACCTGTCTCTTTCAGGGTATCAGGCTTCTTAGGGTAACTACCTCCTGTTTCAGACATGGGCTGGCATCATAACCTGAAAAAGGAGGGTGTGTGGAGCAAGTGGTAGGGGCTGACGTTTGGAAACCCGCAACACCCTATTGGAACCGAGCGCCGGCCGCGAGCGTCCGATCGCCCCGGCCGCTTTGGGACCTTTTTAGCCGGACGGAGCCACCGGCACGATGGTGTCGCGGCTGCGGCCCGGCCTCGTAGAGTTTTGATTGGGGATGTGGTCCCCAGTGCTGCCATTTACCATTCGGTGGGTGCCCTCATTACCGGGTGATTGCAAGATAGTGCACGTCAATCGAAGGCAAACCATGGGCATCTACAGGGGTTCCCGTGTTCCCTACTTGTAATGCGGCGCCCACTTGGATGTTCAACCAACTCAGTAGGCTATAACCATGGTACGGGGACTCACCCCAGTTTCCCAAGTTATAACCATGGTTATAACCTATTAAGTTGATTGAAAATTCAAGCAGGAATTCAATTTAATACCTGTATGGTAGGTGAGAAAAACAACTTGAAAACCAACAGGGACATGGCTGATTCACTGGGGTGGACATCATAAACATGGGGATCTATGTCCACCAACGGGTGTTGTCTTCAAACGAGGAGACCCCCCTTTCAAAAAACGACTCTCAGTCACCTCCCATTGAATAATTACGCGAAGGCGAACCTAAGAACCAATACATGCCAGAGTTGTCCGTTTAAGACGCCCTTGTTCAAAAATGATTGCAACAACTTGCAAGGGCAAACCGGCCAAGGACCTGGCCAATAGCCTCAACCACCCCCTCGAAGCCATTTGGATGAGTTTGGGTTTTGTTCCTTGGCACACTTGGGAAACCACAGGGACACCAGCCATCTCACAGAATTCTCCTATGTTGGGTTTCTCTTAAGGGGAACAACACACCCGTTCACTGGCTGCATACTTGAAAACAACACCCATTTCTGTAGGGACACCATTTTCTGTTCAAGGAATTTTGTGAAACCGCCCCGCCGGGAAGCACGAGGAAGCAATAGGGCCGTGGTAGGGTAGTATAAAATTGCAAACAAGGCCAAACAAGGCCTCAGTGAGAAAGGTCTTCGCAAGGTGTAGAGTCCTTGACCTCGGGGACAGTTGCTCAATGTGCGAGCCTCTTGACCGCAGTTTTGATCTGGTTTACGGGACACGTCGTCATTGCCTGACCGAATTCTTGTGCTAAGGCCTTTGGAACATGATGCATTCGAAAGAGCGAAATGAGAAGTGTCTAGACTTGGCCGGCACATATCCTGCTCAGCCAAACAAATGTGTGGAGCGTGCGTCATATCTAATCATTCCACCTTTTGGCTTTCAGTATTTGTCAACGCCCCTCTTTTGGGATACGTTGATTTTCCTTTGGTTGGGATCGCCCAGTTCCGCCTGTTCGCTCCGCTTGCCATAACTCACGCAAAAGCAAGAGACCCGCCTACCCCGCCTCCTTCTGGGGAAAATGAAGGCACCTCCTGCAAATGTACAAGCCTTCTTTCAGTGTGTACCTTGTTTTTGTTTTTCCAAGCAAGAGACCAAAGCACAGGGGTCTAGCATTTAGTCTCTAAAGAACTGTGAATGTCTGCTTGCTTTCCAGAAGCAGAATGTGCTGCAGACGCAGCACTTTGTGATGGAAGCAAAATAACGGAGACCTTTCTCCGTTTTGTGCTGAGTGCTGAGAACTCCGAGGGTTTGTGCTGTGCCAAAAAAGCCAAAGCAAACTATGGTATTGAAGTCTTGGAGCACTACATGCCAGAAGGCTAGAAACACTGAAACGCTAGTTGTTTTTAGTTTCTTCCGGAAATCATAGACAAAAGGGGGGGAACACAACGGTCAGATCCGGTCGATTCGATTGCAAGTGAGGATCTGTTTTGACTTGGGCGCCTGCAGAGTAAAACAGGGGCCCGGGAAACCCGGCCCCCTGTGTGGTTGTAGCAAAAACCTGGGGGGCAGCCAACACTATTATACCGTCTCAGGCTTCAGTTATTAGTCTGGTGGGTAAGGAACAAGCCATAATTTGAAACGGTACCTTGTCTATGCTAACAAAGCATTGGGAGTGACTGGGTTCAGCGTCGTGAGGGGTGATCTTGCGGCCCCAACGGTTGCTTCGTCTGCCACTTCAGGAAGCGCACGACTCCGTCCAGCCCTGGCGAACGAGGGTCGCCGTTCGAACCGAGGGTCCGAGCCTCGCCTTCTTGGAGTAGGTGCTCCTGTCATAAACCTGTTGCCTGCCCGGTACCTGCTTATATATAAATATGGTCACAAGATATATGTATATATATATATATATGTACCACGCTGGTGTAGTCAGAGATTCGCACATACACACACAACGTTGTCACCATATACGCATGGGACCACACACACACACACACCTACTACGTATGTGGTATCTGTCAGCAGGCATCTACTCCAGTGGCACGTGGGTACGTGGTTGAGCCTAGATGGAGCTCTGTAAATCTAGATTAGCGGACATTCTGGCTCAGGATAAATAGGGGTGTGGACAATTCATACATGCTCCATTCAGGGAGATCAAAGAAATCATGCATTCTGTGGTATGCAGCACCCTGTCATACAAAATGTTGGCAAGCATTTCCCCAGACCACCCCCGTTGGCCATGGAAAAAAACATTATGTTACTTGCCGATCTTCAAAAGGACAGGCCGGATAGCGCCAACAGCAACCCCGGTCAAACCAGCTCCGAGCTCTGCAGCTCATCTTGGGGGGGGTATCTTTTCTTGGTTGATTCTAGAAGAAAACCTCTGCAACACAAGAAGAAGGCCCCATTGGGCACCCCATGAAAGAACGAACACCAATGGCTACCTGGAGTCTCCATGACTGTAGAACATGGGGTCACTACCCCATTTGGGTCATGGCCCATTTTCCACGGGGGACTGGTAACCAAAGACAAGGATCTGGCGGATTGCCAAACTGGTGCGTCATTTGGTTGAGAATTCACCCGTTTGGTTGGTTTTAAAAGGTAGTCCTTTGCATGAACCCATGCCATTTGAGAGAATTCTGCTCGACGAACCCACCAGGCAACGAACCCCTTCCTCACCAAATCCTAAAAAAAAAGGAACATGGCAACGGATTTGATTCCCTACAGAGGCAACTCGGATCTGGCCAGAAAAGAAAACACGGCGAGCTCTGTCCGATCCGCGCCTCGCACGGCAGACTCGGCCAGGGAGTCGAACCCACGCTTCTGGCGCCAGCCGTTTCGGCGGCTGAAAAGAGGGTCGGAGAACCCGACGTGCCCACGGGTTGTCGGTGTGGTTGGCAAAACTAGCCCAGAAAGTTGAACAAGCTTCCGCAAATATGGCGGGGGGGTGCGTTTGTCTTTATCGAGTTTGACGTCCTCGAACGCACTTAAAACCCTAGATCACCTGAATGTTAGGTCCTGTTAGGTTGTGAACTGCCAAGGCAGGACATGGGGGATGCCCCAGTCCCGTTCCCAGTTTTCCAGTCTTCCGGCCACCCGTTATTTCGTAGAAGCCCATGTTCAAGGTGAAAAACATATGGGGAAAAGCCAGGGACGAGATTCGGAATCGCCAAGGATACATGGGGCTGAGAATCCCACCCATGTCCCTTGTTCCGAATGAGAACGGGACAAACCCAGTTTCCCAAGTTGTGACCATGGTTATGCTTGTTGCGCATCCGAGTCTCTGTTGTTTTTGACACTCTACCCGTGGATTTCAACTTGAAACGTACTGAACAGTGCTACAAAAGCGTGGCAATTGCTGGAATCAACGGTTGCAGAACCTCACATGTATAGAAACCAAGGGATGGATGAAACCCTACAAATAGGATAAACGACCTGCCAACAGAAGGATTTCATCAATCAACAAACACCTAATGGGAACCCGAAATTCATACACCCATCCTGTGAATAGGGGGGTGTCGGGCCCCACAAAAGTGATCCGGATTCCCACTAACACGATCAAAATCAACCCGGGTTCTTCGGTTCCAAACCACCGGTCATCCCGCATTAACTCTAAAAAAGACCCTGTTGAGACTTTTTCAGGGATAGCCCGCCATGGTCCATGAGCCGGGTCAACAGCTGACTGCGTGCTACTGCTCCACAGCGCCTCGGCATCCCGCGGGTCGGTGAAGCCCTGGGTGACGGGGCGACTGCCCTGGAAGCTGAAGTCCGGGTGCATCCAGGCCATGATGGGCTCCTCAAAACTCAACACAAACACACAAGTATAACATCCACCTGTATATTCTATACAATGAACATACCTGCAAGCTAAAACAGATGTGAAACCCTATGTAACATTTGAGCTACTTATAGTTTGTATGTAAAATATGTGAGTACATATATTATATGTACACATAACATATCATTGGTATATATAGACATGTATATAAATCTACGTAACCCACAATTCCTTCATGAGGGCTTCAGCATCCCCTACGTACTGACATGAAGAGCAAAGTGCGGCACCTTGTCAAGAGGCGATCCCCAAGCCCACTGGGGCCAGTTGTGATGCCTCACAGGGCCCACAATAAGAGACTATGATCGGGTCTTTTCCCTCCACTTGCTTACGTTTTCTGGAAACAACAAGAACATGTCCAGTAGTGAGAGACTTCCTAAAAGCAAAACAAGGGAAGTAAAAACACATTCTTAAGCAGCAGAAAGTATGATAGGGTCTGTCATCTCCCTTTTGGTGGGGGGTTCCCTTGGTGAACATTTGATTATACAACCAAACATTGTTCCAAGGTAGGCCTACTTGAAACCTGGCCTTCTGAACAAAAAAGGGCGGCGGGTGATAATGAAAACTCCGGATGAGAAGCTGATTTTGATCGGGGGAGGGTCCCTGGTTTAGTGGGGATTCATCCCTTTCGGAGGGAACCCCCCTATTCATATGAGGGGTTAACCAATCCGGGGTCAACATTAGTCATCCAGTTCTCCTCACGCCAAGTTGCAGTGTTGCCGTACTTCCAGAACTGCCTGTAGAGCCCTATGGGGCCACGATCGTACTGGTGGTACATGCGCGCATCTTCGCAATACCTGCCCAGAGCGACGAGTAGGTGTGGATGTCACCGAAAATAAGATAAACTAGGGAAGCAGAAAACAAAGTCTAAATCTCAAAGCTGACATGATTGATCATCCATTCAGATGCAAGGAAACTACATAAAGGTAAACTGGATCGAAATTGTCACGAGGCTGCAATGGGGTTTACCAATCTGTTTTCAAGGTGTGGGATACACTCGTTCACACTACCCTTCTGCAAGTTCGATGGAACATCCCATGGCTTTCCAATCCACCAAGGCATAGAAAGAGCCTGACCCCGAATATTATGCCAAACACATGCCTTGCCTGAAGCGTTGGAAGTTCTCACCCTTAGGGTTCCCAAAGCCAGGCTCTCTTGAGACGGTGTGGAGACTGTTGGGGGCTCCGTACTTTCGAAGCCCAAAAGGGACCCTGAGGAAAGTTGAGGGATTTGGGTTTTGCCCACACACGCGCGTGAACAATCACAAGCTCACAAAAACATGCAAAGCAACACCAACACAGAAACATATAAACGCAGACTGCTCGTTACTGTAAAAACACACACACACATGCGTAAACACACCCGCCCACAAACAGGGCTCCAACTTGGCGCGCAAACCGTGAACTTTCGTTTAAGCGCCTGGTAGGGTTGGGCCCAATCCTTCTTTGCACCTCTGATTTGTTGTTTTGAGGGCAATGCTTGCAACCAATCCCTCCATTTGTGAAGCCAAGGAACCCCGAAATATATCCAGCAGAGTGATAGATAGTTTTCTTTCAAAGAAAGTCAAGTTAAATTGGCAAAGCAAATTAATGAACCCTGATGAACGGAGGCGGCGATGGAAAGAAAAGAAACACGTAAATTGTATATAACCTCCGCAGATCTCAGTTATACATATTAAGTAACTCTTTGCCATGCTCTGCCGGTCATATTATACGTTGGGGAACCCTTTGTTTACCTCCATACCTCCCGTTCATCCCATCGCCTGGTGAGCACATTTTTCTCCACTCGCAGGCGCCAGCAGAACTCAATGTCCTCGAAGCCAGGGCCTCTGTTGGATCGCTTGTTTCATGCAGGTAGGGACAACCACCGTGGAAAGCTGAAGGTAACCATGGTTACCTGTTATTTTAACTGGAAGGGAAACCTTTTTGTTCATCTTGAACCTGATTTCTTTCACCTTAACCATGTTTTCCACCTTGAAGCGCTGGGTTGCTTTCTTCTTAGTGGCAAACAATCAATGCCAGGTCAAGGGGAAGGTTGGGGCTTGTGGGTCCTGTTTTCTCTTCTTTAAGGGCGAAACCTGCGCTCAATAGGAACTTAACTGAAGTAAGGGATCGAAAAGGGACCTCAAGAAGACATTTCCCCAACACAAATGGATGTGAGCAAGTCTCAAGTTGGAGACATATCAGTCGTCATCCTGATAAGGGATTCAATCCGAACGTGAGATTAATCCTTTGAGGGAGGGGAATACCGAAGCCTCGGAATTTGGAGGACCATGCAGGAATCCCCTCAACGCTCCAATCCATCGGGTTTGTGGGTCTCACATTCTCAACGGGCTTTTTCAGCTGCCAAAAGGATTTGAACAAGAAAGGTTAACACTTTCGAACCTGAACTAAATATGGTCCAAATTAGGGAAGCGAAAAGTTATCAGGTCGGCTTTGGGAAAGCGAGTTTTTGGAATGGTTCACCATTGCGTCGCGAGCCTTGGGTAGACACTCACCTGGGAGCCCAAATCCATTGCCTCTGGTTCCACCAACATGGTTTTAATACAGGTCCTTCGACTCGCTCGTGTTACGCTTCAAATCGGTGGAATCGTTCGACATCGTATGTTTGAGTTTGATTCAAGTGTGATTCTGGCTATGGGCGTGTCTTTTCGAGGGCAACCCAATGCAACCCATTTTGGTTGGCTTTAAAGCCCCGATGTGTTATCCGGGTAGCCCCTTTTTTACAAGGACTCAAGCGTGGCAAAAGAGCTGCGCTAACAAGGGTTATGAGCCCAACATGTTGATCGCTCGGTAGCCATGGACGCTGGGATGCGGAGGCGAAGGGCGAGGTCGGTGGACGCGGTGACCATGGAGGGTACCATGGTGGCGGAAGCCGACGGTGACCTACCTCTTCATGAAGAAGAACAAGGTGGAGAACCGCAGCAAGAGCGAGGTCAGCGGCAGGTGGTGGATGTAAATCCTTTCTGGAGTTCACGGGCGGTGGAGGCCGCAAGGCTGCGAGCAATGAGGCCCGATGGTTTGCCCAAGGTCCCGGACACCGTGAGCCCCCAGAAGGTCGAGACGGAGATGGACGCTTGGGGAGGTGCCGGTGGCGCTCCTGAGGGAGATCTTCCCGGGCAAGATGGAGTTGGTGGCCACCCAGATGCTGCTGGCAGTAGGACGAGAACAGAAGAGTTCTGGAGCGAGATAAGGAGGGACCTGACAGCGGACCTGGAGAATGCGGAAAATGCCGGAATGGCCAACGGCGATGAGCATGGTCTGCAGGAGGAAGGTCGACGTCCAGGTAATGGGCAGGAACAAGGCGGAGATGGAGCTCTACTACATGGGAATGGAAGAGAGCTACCGCATCATGGTGACCTAAGGCCGGGTGAAGGACAAGGGCCACCGGGGAAAGGAATCGGAAGGCCTGGAATGATGCGAGGGAGACCTGTGGAACGTGAAGCCGAACTACGCGGTCCAGGTTGGGCGGAAGGCGGAGTTGGGAGACAAGATCCACGAGCTCTTCGGCAAGGAGGAAAAGGAGATCTACTACATGGTGGGCGAGGACCACATGCAGGTGAAGATCAACCAGATGATCTTATGGAGGACCAAAGCCTCAGAGATCAGCGGCTGTGGGAGGCGGCATGCAAAAGGACGGGCAACAGAGGGGTGCTCCCTGGCCAGAGCTCGCAGGTAGCAATGGGGGCATCGAAGAATCTGACCCGGCTGGATCTGGACTGGCTTTGGAACGACGAGCACAAGGTGTGGGTCCCTGAGAGAGCTCAACGAGATGATGATGACGAGCTGATCGGAGACATGGACCTCGCGGAAGAGATGGAAAAGAACTTCATGAAGGCGTGCAGGAAGATTCGCGGAATGGAGCAGCAGAGGAAGTACCTCTTCGACACGATCAAGGACCTGAGGGCGAAGGAGAGAAAGTGGCAGTTGGAGGCAGAGTTCTGGAAGGCCAGATGTGATGAGAAGGAAGCGGAGAGGTTTGTGACGCCTGCCGAGAAGATGGAGGTGTTTGAAACGCCGATGGAATCTCATCATTTGATGATGGTGCCGCCAGAAATGCCGCCACCGCCGCCTCCACCCCCAAGGGAAGGGACACCGAGACGGAGATCAAGGTCCCCACCAAGGTCGCCGTTGAGAGGTACAAAAAGGACACCGGGAGGAACAGCGCTACCTGAAGGAGATCCGCCGCGTGACGAACGCAAAGATGATCGTGGGTGGCAAATCCAGTGGTCGGAGCCGTGGGATGATCGCTGGGGGGAAACAGGGTGGGAATCCCATCCATACTCTCAAAGCTGGGAGGCATGGAAGAGCTGGAATGTCTGGGAAAACACGGAGGAGGTGAAGACCGTGGTTGAGCAAGTGGAGTCAGGAGGTGCTGGTGGCAAGGTGGAGTTGACGGAGTTGATCTATGACCATTCTCCGTTGACTCTTGGAGACTGGCTGGCACAGGTTGGGCCGCAGATGAGTGATCTGTCCCAGGGAGCGGCGGAATGGTGGGCCGGAACAATGGGCCAGGCGAAGCAGCTCTACGAGGTCTGGTTGAAGTCAACCCCGCTGGAGAGGCTCAAGATCACGGTGGACATCCCGGAAAGGCTAAAGACCCCGCGGTTTGTCAGGACAGAACAGCGGGGGGTCACGCTTCTGCTGAAGGCGGTGCCGGAAGAGATCCGCAAAGAGTTGATCTCAGCGCGGGAAATCACATCGACCGGGGTGCTGTACCGGTTGCTGGTGACCTATCAGCCAGGAGGACCAGGAGAACGAGCTTTGATCCTGAAGAAGCTCACGGACCTGGGCAACCTGAGGAACTATACGGAAGCGGCCTCATCACTGAGGGAATGGCGGAGGTACTACCTGCGGGCGCAGGAAATTGGAGCTACGCTTCCGGATCCAACTTTGCTGGCGGCGGCTTTGGAGCGGGTGGTTCAGCTTGTGAACAAAGGTGGAACACAGGCGTTCAGGGTAGCCCAGGCGAGATCTCAGTTGGGACTGGACACAGCCCCGACATCGCTGGGGATCTGGAGCTACTCCGAGTTGCTCCTGGCGGAAATGGACACGGCAAAGCTGATGACCAGCGAAGGAGTGGTAGCCAAGGTGAAGGCGATGAGTGGCGGCAAGGAGCATGCCGGCAGTCATCAACACGGAGCTGGATCCGCCAAGAAGGAGGTGAACAACTGCAGGTACTTCATCTCGGAGAATGGTTGCAGAGCTGGCCGGAGTTGCAAATGGCCCCACGACTGGGAAGGCGTCACAGATAAGGCGGCGCGATGCTGGACCTGCGGTGCGAAGACCCACAGGAAGGCAGACTGCACTGTGAAGCCGGGGAACCTGTATGGGGGGAGCCGACCAACGCCGAAGCCGGTGGCAACGGTAGCGAAGTGCGAGCTGGGTGGCAGCTCGGGGGGAGGTGAAGGCACAGGTGGTGGTACAGGCGGTGAAAAATCGCAGTTTCAAGGTGGTGGAGAAGCCAGCAACATGGTGGAAAAGGATGCTACATCGGCAACGGCGGCTACTACAGGTGGTGGAACTATGGCCGGTGGAGCGGGCAGCGGAACGGGGGAGTTGCTAGCCGAGGCGACCAGTCTCCTTCGATCGCTGAGGTTGCCGTCGATGAATGCGGTGATCGTGATGAACCAGATGAGCAAGGAAAGCCTCGGCATGGGTCTCCTTGATGGAGGAGCAACACATGCACTCAGGCCTGGAAGAAACCAGGCAGAATGGAACCAGGCCGAGATCGTGGAGGTGCACTTGGCGGATGGTTCGAGCACAAGAATGCGGAGCAAGCCGGGAACATTGACGCTGCTGGCAGAGAAGGGCACGCAGGTCATTGTGCCCATGGGAGCGATGACGGAGGTGGGTTACATAGTGACATGGGCCAACGGCGTGTGCAAGGTGACCTACAAGGGCAAACCGGTGGGGGTCACGATGATCGCAGGATGTCCTATGGTGGAAGAAGGAGTGGCCTTGGAAATGATCGAGCAAATGGAGCAGAAGAAAGCAGAGCTCAATTGGAAACTGGCGATGCTGAAGGGCCAGGTGGAGCCGACCAAGAGCTTGATCTATGAGGAGGCCATGCTCAAGGCGTTGAAGGAGTTCTTCGTGGACGTCCCGGACAGGTTGTTGGCGAAGTTGGTGGTCACACAGGAGTACGACGTGACGAAGTTGCCGTGGAACAGGCGGAAAAGGAGGAAGATGGAGAGAGCAAGGAGAATCCACCTGCATCTCTTCTCGGGCACGGAAAAGAAGTGGGCAGACATGGAGGAGAGGGAAACGATCATGATCTGCTTGGACAAGGTGAACAACCCTGGGCAGGATTTGCTCAATGATGATGTTTACAGTTACCTCATCGCCTTGGCGAAGAGTGGAGCTGTGGTCAGTGTGATAGGGGGTCCGCCCTGTCGCACTGTGTCTGCCTGCAGATCAAGGTCGCCAGGCCCCAGGCCGGTGAGAAGCGAAGAGCATCCCTACGGGTTCGCGGATCTCACGCATTCTGAGAGAGAAATGGTGGAAGGGGACTCCGTGCTTTGGTTGAGGATGATGACGTTGTACATCGTGGCAGAGGAGACCGCGAGAAGCCGGAAGCTCCCGGCGGTGGCGTATGGGCAAGAACAGCCTCGGGACCCTGGGGACTACAGGGTGGACATTCCGAAGGAAAAGCTGGTCAGCGTCTGGCGATTTCGGGCGTGGAAGGCATTTGCCAAGCGGTACGAGATGGAGATGATTCACTTTGATCAAGGACCGCTAGGGCATGAGCGAAGAAAGCCGACAACAATAGCCACGAACCTGGAGCAGATGCGGGGACTGGGGGAGGTTGCAGGACCTGGTCAAGGCGGAGAAGCATGGTCGGAGAACCTGCAGGAGCGGATCACTCAGACCAAGAGGTGGTCAGCATGGGCGCCGGGGCTGGTGCAAGTGTTCAAGGAGGCGCTGCAGAATCATGAGAAAGAAGGGCTGGGTGTGGTTCGAGCTCTTCGGCCTCTAAGCGCTGCAGCAATGGAGCAGTGGAAAAGGCATTTCGCGTGCGATCACCAACCAGCACGGCGAGATTGTCGGGTCTGTGTGGAAAGCCAAGGAAGAGGCCGAGCACATCGGAGAGTTCAACATCCACAGGCGTACACCTTGGCGGTGGATCTGTCGGGAAAACTGGCGGCTGGGAAGGATCAGAGATGCCAGGCGAAGTACTTCGTGGCAGCGGTGTACACCTATCCGGTGAATGGAGAAGGAAGATCTCTGCTTGCGGAACCTCAAGAAGAAGCGGAACCGGAAGCCGGAGATGTGGAAGAAGTGGAAGTTGATATGCTGGAAGAAAAGGAGGAAGGAGAGCAGATGCCCGAGGAAGAGGTCAAGAATGAGATCCAGGCGGGGGACATCTGGGAGAAGAAGGTAGAAGAGATGCAGGATGTGGGGGTCACCAACCTGACGTTTGTGGAGCCGATCACATCAAGACAGGCGTCGGATGTCATCCCGGCGATCGCGCGGATCTATGCGAGGCTCAGGGAGATGGGTCTGCCGGTCTATAGGTTGCACACGGACCGAGCTCGAGAACTGATGGGAGTGCAGCTGAAACGCTGGGCTCAGGACCGGAACATCGTGAAGACAACGGTCCCGGGGGACGCCTTCAAGGAGAACGGACGGGTGGAGGCAGAGATCGGGGTTCTAAAAAGGGCGACGAGAACATTGCTGAAGGCGGGCGGAGAACCAGCTACCTTGTGGCCGATGGCGTTGAGGCATGCTGGAGAGCGACGCCTACGGAGGCAATTGCACGCGGTGGGTCTGCCGGTGAAGGAAATGCTGCCGTGGGGGACGATCGCCTATGTGAAGAAGAAGAGTTGGAATGAAAGAGGTCAGGACTGGAGGTTTGACCGCGAACGGGTCAAGATCATGGGCCCAGATGCAGTGATGTCAACAACATCAGGTGGCTATTGGGTGAGGAGCTGTGAGGATGGACGGCATTTTGCCACCACGGATGCGATCAGGGAGCCCGAGGAGGTGATCATCGACCCGGGGGAGGAAGTGGTACTTGAGGAACGAGTAGGTGCGGACCTCTTGATGCCGAGAGCGGAAAGGCCAAGGAGGCGACTGCGGGAAAAAACAGCTATGTCGACGATGATCGTCGAGGGGGAGAAGGTAGAGGACCAGGCCCACTTCGAAAAACGGCACCAACATGTCACTCAATGGGTCAAGGAGGAGTTGGAGATTTTAGATGCAGAAGGAGAAGATCAAGAGATGTGGCTTGGAGTACTACGAGAAGGGCTTCAACGGAGGAACCACATCGAAGCTGCACTGAACCGGATGCAGGTCGAGGGCGCAGCGAAAGCAGAAGAGGAGTGGCTCGTGACGAAGACGGTGTCGATGGGCGAAGTGAGGAGTGAACTGGAAGAATGGAAGGTGGCGGCGAAGAAAGAGTACACGGCATTGGTGGAGGAAAGCAAGGCGGTTAAGCCGATCAGGAAGAGGGACATCGACCAGATCCAAGGCCCTGTCGAAGTTCTTCCGGCCAAGGCTGTGTGTACCAGGAAAGCGCCGGATGGGCGCCGGAAGGTCAGAGGAGTGGTGTGCGGCAACTATTCAGCCGGCAAGGATGCGGAGAAGCTGTACGCGGGAGGTGCAGACGGGTTGCAAATCCGGATGGTGCTGAGAACTGCGGGACAACGAGGATGGAGCCTTTTGTGTACGGACATCCGCACGGCGTTCCTCAATGCTCCGCGAAGAGATGATGGCAGGACGATTGTCATGGAGGTCCCGTCGGTGTTCAAGGAGTTGGGCATCGCTCAAAGGGATGAGATGTGGGTCGTCGACAAGGCGGTCTATGGACTAACCACAAGTCCTAGAGACTGGAGTGTTCACCGGGACATTGAGATCCGCAAGATGGAGTGGGAAGGAGATGGAAAAAGGATGAAATTCCTGGAGACAGAGGAGCCGAACCTATGGAGGATCATTGAGGTAGAGACCGGGAGGGTGCGAGGACTGATGTCCATCTATGTGGACGACGTGATGCTCGCCGGCGAGGACAAGATCATTGAGGCGGCCAAGGCAAGGATGGAGGACGGAGATTGGAAGTTGTCCCCGGCGGAGTGGGCAACGGCTGAGGTGCCCATGAGGTTCTGCGGCTTTGAGGTCTACAAGAAGGATGATGGGTACTTAGTGAACCAGAAGGCCTTCGCGGAGGACTTAGTGGCCAAGTGGGACATCAAGGAGGGCATGGAGGCATTGAGCTACAAGCTGCCGGATGAGGACAGCAAGGATGGAACCCCGGACGAGATCAGAGAGGCTCAGGCTATCACGGGCGCTTTGCTGTGGTTGGCTTCGAAGACGAGACCGGACATTGCGGTGGCGGTCGCAGCAATGTCGAGATGGACAAGGAAGGGTGTGGAGGTTGTCAACCTGGGCAAGGACGTGTTGAGGTATGTCAAGGCAACCACTGATCGGGGCCTGAACTATGGACCGGTTGGAGGATGGGCGTCAAGAGAAGGCCTTGGCATGAAGAGGCGCGTGAACATGGTGGAGGTTTTCGCGGACATCTCCTACGCGTCGGGCGGGGAGGACAAAAGCGTGCAGGGCATTGTGGGCTTTGTGGAGGGAGCTCCGATTTGCTGGGAGTCGGTGAGACAGCCCTTTGTTGCACAGAGCACGGCGGAGGGTGAGTTGATTGGATACTGCGAGGCGCTGACGGTGGGCAGGGCCTTGGTGTCGCTCACGGAGGTCGTCACTGGCGAGAAAGTGGAGTACAAGAGAATGTACGGGGACAACATGGCGGCGATCAGCCTGGCATCCAATGGAGCAGGGAATTGGAGGACTCGACACCTTCGTATCAGGGCTTCGGCTTTGAGGTGGGCCTTGGAGGAGGGTGAGTGGGTGTTGGAGCACATGCCGGGTGTACAGTTGGTGGCTGATGGTTTCACCAAGCTTTTGTTAGGTCAGGCTTTTGGTAGCTTTTTGGTTGAGCTTGGTATGGTGAAACAGGGCCATTGGGCATACAAGAAGAGCCACTGGGCCGCCGAAGGGCACAAGAAAAAGATCAAGATCGCTAGGGGAGATGAACCAGCGACAGTAGGAAGCAAGATCGCTAGGGGAGATGAACCAGCGACAGTAGGAAGGCCTGACGGGGAGGAAGCCAGGCAAAAAGGCCTGAGAAGATTGGGCAGGGAAGATGAACCGCCCACAAAGAAGTCCAGGGCAAATGAACCGGACTCAACCCCGGAGGATGGCCGAAGAACCGCAGCTGTTTTGGATAAGAACCACTGCCCATCGGGCTGCCCTCCCAACCTAGGTGAAACTAAGGCTAGGATTATGATGGCGATAGGCGCAAGCCTTGTGGCAAGGGCGGAAGGAGCTAGAGCCGAGGCGGAGATCTCGGGCGTGGAGATGATCGACGTGATCATTGTGATTGGAGGTATCTTGATGGCGATCGGAGCTGCGGTGGTGGCAAAGTGGACGGCCAAGGCGGCCAGCAACGTCATGAAGAAATTGTGGGTGGGGCCGGGAGTTGGTCGGGACAACTCGGTGGTGAAGCCTGCGAGAAAGGAGGTCGACGAGGTCGATGAGCAGCGGAGCAGGAGTTGGTCGCAGAGGAAGGGGCTTGAGCGGCGGAAGCCAACTTCGATGAGGCTGATCGTTGACGATGTGGAGGTTGAAGTCAAAAGGCAGGAGCGTGGTTCCGGAGGGGGTCATGATGCTGCTGGAAGTGGAGAGGAGGCTCGCAAGGAGCCTGGTGGAAGTGGAGAAGAGGCTCGCAAGGAGCCGGGAGGAAAGGAGGAGGTCGAGGAGGAGGGCGGCAGTGCGTCATCATCGGGAGCATTGCACAGGCCGCCATTCAAGAAGTGCAGTACAAGTTGGAATCAGTTTCAACACGACCATGCCGGACGCGGCTGGACCATGGACTACATGAGGAAGAAATACTACGAGGAGAAGAAGGGGAAGTAGTTTTTGGGTCGTGCCGGTAAATAACCCGGCCGGCGGAGCGGCACAGAAGTGCCGGGGGGAGCCCGATGTGTTATCCGGGTAGCCCCTTTTTTACAAGGACTCAAGCGTGGCAAAAGAGCTGCGCTAACAAGAAAGCGAAACCAAGGAAAACCACATTTGTTTGGTTCGCTATTTCTGCGACGAAGCCTGCAGTACACCTGTTCAGTCATTTTCAAAGGTCACAGACTTGTCCATTGGATCTGCCTTGGACCTTGGGATCCGACCCTCAAAGTAAAGTTGATTGCTAGCGCAAAGGGAAAATCAAGGACTCTGATCAAGGCTTGAATACCAACCCCAAGGGTGTTTTGATGGCACACATGCAGGGGCGCTCACCAACTCGAGCAGGGCAACCATAGCTTGTCCCTTAAGACGCTGGGTAGTACCCTGGCAAAATAAGCCAACGACTCTTGTCCGACTCTGGTATTAAGTAGCCGAGAATAAGAATCAAACAAAAACTTAAGGCACCTCCCACTCTTTAGCCACGTCGCGCGAGAAGATGGGGTCAAACTCGGCCTCAGAGAGCACTGGGTGAAGCCACCGAGTGCTCGTCCGGTGCTCCCAACTCCGCCCTCTAAATCCATTGAAGCTTGAAAATGGCTCAATCCCAAAAGGTGTATGTTTATTTGTGCGACCCGCAATAATTCGTGAAACAGGCCCCCTGATGTACTATACACGGAGTGTCATCTGCAAGTGTTCCCGTGTAGATCTCCCGCCCCGATAAATGACCCGGCTAACACAAAGCACACCTAGCAGGCACATTCCTCTGGCAAAGAGTCATAAACTCAGTCTGGCATAGGTCCTGAGCCGAGGTCAATATTTGCTGAGATCCCAATGACGCTGGAGGGTTCCGCCTTCGTGTCAACACAACTTTTCCCAGTGTCCTCTCCGAGCTAACAATAGACTGCCGGTAATTGTGCCAGTTTCCCATGTCCATTTGCAGTTGCAGTCATGGTCCGTATGATATCATGTGGGTGTGAATTTCAATGGGGGACTCGTTGGTGGATATCATGTAGATGGGGATGAATGTCCGCCAACCATTTGGGAGGGTGTTGTTGCATTGAAAACCATAGACATTTGCAGTTATTGGTCATAAAGTTGTGAATGGACAACCCCGATGGATGACTCCCAATCAATCTTCATTGCAACATATTCACCGACTGGCGACCCTAAGTGACTGCGTATGGAGCCAAGGACGGCTTTGGAGTTGGTTTCCAAAGAAGATCAACATGAAGCGCAACCGGCTCCAACTGATGCTGACACATATAAAATATATAAAGAGTGGCCCGCTCAAGAGCGCCCCAAAGGAAAGAAAACAACAAGCCTACACAAAGCCCCCAGCAAATCAAAAAGATCCTGGGAGTACCAAATCGCAGGTCCTGTAAGAGAGCTCTCCTCGTTTCAGGGAAGCCCGTTTCGCATTTGAGCTTGGTGGCTTGATCTTTGACATTGCGTTGCATCAGGGTGAAATTAGATGGTACAGGTTACTTTTTGTACAATTCCTTTTGTTGTGGGCCAGCAGTAATTGTTCAAAAACATGGTCGGCAAACAACGTCAAAACAACCTTTGGGAGACAGTCCTTTGAGAACATCTCAAGAGTCTGCGCAGTTCAAAAGTCCGAGACCTGAGGGCCCCAATCTGGAGCCTTAGGGAACCCTTCTTGGCCCACGCCCAAAGTACAAAACATGTTTAGATTGTGCTTCATGCTTAGTCCTTAAGACATCTTGAGGCACCCAACGTGCCCTTTTTTTAGGTACGAGAAAAAAACGCTCGAATTACCGATTTCTGCTCGACCCCCAAAAAACGCTCGCCCCCCGAAAAACGCTCGACCACATCCCCTTCTTCCATCCAGGGGAAGGCGGGATTATTACGTGTTTTTTCAAATTTGCGCTCGTTTGCGGATATTTGCGCTCGTTTTGCGGATATTTGCGCTCGTTTTGCAGTTTGATTTCTGCTCGCTCCTTTTGAATATTCAGCGACCGGTCATCTTGGAGGACCGACCAGCCCGGTTTTGGGAAAAACGCTCGAAGCAGGAAAAAGTGTACGTTTGCCATATTTTGGTGACGACCCCTGATTTTGCAATACGTTTGGGCTAAGGGCAGAAATTTATGTAACGAAGGGTGCTCCAGGATTTATATATATATAATATGTTTGGAGTAGACCCTTGTCTTCCCCAAGAAGCCGTTGATGCGTCGATCCCCGACATCTTGCCAAGTATCGTCGCCGATGGAGTTGAGGTCAACGCTGAAGTTGCAGGTGCCTAGAGACCCGACTAAGCCCCCAAGACTAGCCTGGGGGTAAACTACTGGTCCCATCAAATCATTATTTCACCATGATCAAGCCACCCTCTAAGTGACAAAGGGAGACAATCCCATTGTCTGACTTTGACCCCCAGAAGCGCTCAAAATCACGACCCCAGAATTATCGAGGCAAAATCCGCTGCCCAAAAAGCGGGCTGCATGAGGCCTTGCCCGGAAAAGGGTCCCTGGTCTGCCAATACGGGAGAAACCGGAATGGCGTGAGCGGGTCGACATCCCACGTCGTTCTGGGTGATTCAAAAAGCATCGGCTGTATAAGTGACTGCAATAATATAAATATATATATATATATCTGTATATATATATATGTATCGGACATGCTTGGTCAGGCAATCATCTTGAAGACATGGTCAACATAATAAAAAAAAGGTCCACCGAGTCTCCGAGCGGGCCGAAAACGAGCATCGAACAACAATATGTGTGTAGTATACATGTACATATATATATATATATATGCATCTGAAACAACACGAAACATAATAACATCAATGAATAGATGAATATCCATACAAGGACCGGAAGTCACCTTTTTCACGTACTTTACCTTTCAAGCGTCGGACGTAAACAACTTCTACGATGAATTGAGATCTGACAGCCCCCCCCTCCATTAAGAAGGGGTGTGGAGATTTACTCAGATGGGTTGCGCCACTCTCTCGTCTGAGTAACCCCGAGTCCCCGGCAGCCATACATCAACACACCCGCCGGATCTTCCCAGCTCCTCGCGCGCGCCCATTGAAAAGCTGCCCATCATCGACTTGTGGTTCTATCAGCACAGTCATGGAAGGTTAACCTGGGCTAAATCCCCTGAAACCAGGAGTCTCCTTCTGACCTGGTTACCCAAAAGAAACAGATCACGGCAACATGTTCGATTCGAGTCAGATCCGGAGACTCCAGATGGACCAAAGCCTTTTGCCACGGACATCACACAAAAACCCAACCATCAGGCAACCATTGGTGGTTTGGATTGGTGGTTTGGGGATTTCAACCCCTGGTTCTTGTAGAGGGTAGAGAGGGAACCACGGAAACGCCAACTCCGCGGCGCAAAAGCGCTCGCTCCAGCGGCCGTTCAGGTTCCCAAAGTGATCGTGGAAGCGGCCCGTATGGCCTGCAAATGACGCGAGTTTCACTGCGGAAGCGCAAGCCCCACTCAGGAAAAAAAGCTCACAACAAAAAGAACAAGAGTAACCAAGCCCCCAGAAGTGTGGAAAAGGGCACCTTTTTTGGTGGTCGAGGGAAGAAAGGGACACCCCTCCAACAAAAAGGAAGAAAGGGCACTACTGCAACGAGCCAAGATATCGCAAACATGTTCGGAAGGACTAGCACACACCTTCACAAACACACCTGCGCACACACACACACACATTCATGGGCTCTGCCTATTTTTGTTCGAGCAAAGACCCAAGTTTGAGCACACCTCACCTTGGGGTTGAGCTTGTCGAAGGTTGACATGCAACGATGTTTAAATTCATCTGCCTTGTTCCATTCATAGGAAAGGCAGCAGCCATTCTGAGGAATTCAAAAGGGCCGTGACCACCCCAAACAACTGCCTGTCCTCATAGTCGCTCAAGTTGTCAGAAGCTTCCCAGGGACTTTGGTTGGAATCCCCCCAACATACAAAGATAGGGCAAACCCCAAAATGGGAAAGACTTTTGTTCTCGCTTCAAAGCCAACCAACTGGGGACCAACTCAAAAAGACAAGCCCAAGTGCACCCTACCCAGCGATGACAGGTGCGCTCGAAGGTCATGCAAGCAAAAGGCGTTCTTTCATGGAAAACTCCTAGTGACCCCTGAGCGATCCCTTAGGCAGCGGGAACCAACTCATGTTCAAGGGAGTCGTTTCAGGTTTTTAGGTTGTTTTCGAAGGGCGAAAAAACTGGGTATCTCAAAAACGACTTTCATAAGACTTCAACAAAGCCTATGTGCGGGAACACCCCCAGAAGCCTACTTTTTTTGGGATCCTGGTGGGGTCAGTGGGGTCAGGCGTCAGGCGTCGGACTTGGGTTATGTCTTACGATCATAACAATCAGATCTTGCAAGTCTCTTCCACATGGAAGCCAAAAGCAACTCCTTTTGGGGAGCCCCCGTTTGGGATTCCAAGTCAATTTGCAGCGCAACCGACTCTACCCATGGCTGTTTCGTGCCCAAAGGGAATTTCGTGTTGCACAAAATTGTAATGTTGCCAGGCTAAATCTAATCGGGATACTTGGATGATCCAGTCCATATGCCAGAGCAGCCCAGAAATGGATGTAGGTCAAACTGGTTCCGCTGTTTTGAGCCCGGTGAAACACATTTGGGCCGCTATACGCAACCTCTTTTGGGTTGTCCTTGAGCGGGGGCCGAGGCCGAATCGGGTCGAAAGCTTGTTCAACGACGTGCCGAAGATGGTGCTTGCCCTTACCAGCCAATTTGAACCCTTAAGGGCCTCAGCAGAAGTGGGGCAACGCTTGCTCACATATGTTTAAACCATTGCTGTTTCAGCTTTTGCCGCAAACCAACAAACACATGTTTGATTCTGCTCCACGATCAGCGAACCGTAAACTCACTTGCCAGAGGACCTGAAACAAAAGATTAACCTTCTGGGACCTTTACCCAAACTGGACCAAATCAGGGAAACCAAAGAAAGAGGCCAGTTATAAAACAACTGAGCTTACTCCAGCCGCCATATGGCGACTTTGATGACACCATCGCCTTGTTTTTCCAAGGACCCCCGAACCAACCCTGAGTAAGCAAAGTTTTGACTGCGTACAAGGCAAAATTACTGTAAAAGAGAGAGTCCAGTTGACGGCCTGTTTGGGCCTCGGCCCATGCCAAGGCACTTTTGTCCACCGACAGCGTAGGCCCACACACAATGCCGGGCCTCTCGTGGAAGTCTTGTGCTTGCCCCCTTTTGCGGCACCAGACCAACAAACACCAGTCGCCAACATTACTATTTAGCTTCTGCAACCAGAGGTTTCAACCCCCAAATCCCAAATATAGAGTTGCCTCACTAATGGTCGTGGTCTCATGGCTGGATGTCCTAGTGGGGTCCCTAGGGCCCACACTCTCCTGAAAAGGAGGTTCTACGAGTACATGTTTCTGCACCAGAGAGGCTCTCGTCAATTAGTCAAGTGACTGAAAGCAAAATTGGCAACGTGCGCCTTCCAAAATTGAACTGCACGAAATGACACAAGTTTGGCTGGTCAACAGAAATATTGGAAGCCCAAAACCGATGATCGGGCGTCTTGCCCCCAGAGCGAAGCTTGTGACTTTTTGGGGAGACACCCCCTATCAATTCACAAAGTTTATTCACCCAGGGTCGGCATTCTGACGGACATCCCACACAGTTACAGCAAAGTGCCTGGAGCCTGGTTTAAGTTTTAAGGGTGATTCACTTTAGCTGGTTGGGGGGGGGCAATTTCCCTGGAATTACCCAGCTGACGAACCAAGCAAGGGGGGCAGAGAGCAAGTTCCGACGGAATCCCATGACAATGTTCTCGCGGAGTGAACAAAGATATGTACCATGGCCAACCAGTAGGGAACTGGGTTGCTCCAAGTCCCCCTGAGCAAAAGGTCGTGAGACCAATTGTAGGTTGAAGGGAACCATTTGTGTCCAAAGAGTGGAAGGAGCTATATAAGGTCACACCAAAGACCAGCCAATGCAAATCTCTAATTGCCGGGTCCATGACCATCGCTACCAATCCCACCCAGTGATTCCATGTTCCTGTGCGGTAGGAGCCAAGGAAACCCTTTAAATCCAAGAGGAGAATGGCTGGCTACCCACTGTAGTGGTAACTGGGATTCACTGGGCCAAGTAACAGAGCGTTCTCACCATGGCTCAGAACGTATCGCTGTACCAACAGGCTCTCCGACAGGATCACACAGAGCTCCGCCTAAAGGAAAGTCACCTACAACGGGTCCACCGACCTTTAACCTGGCTAGAAGACTCACTTCCTAAGGGGGTTGGCCCAAACAAGTAACCAAGCTTTTGTTGTGCCACTAATACCCAGACTCCCACTGGCCATAGGGAAAAAGGGCATCGACTCTAAAGGAAACATCCCTCTGAAGATGTAGTCCATCATCCGTTTAGACGGCACTGCCCATTTAGAATAGCCAAGGGCCTAAATGACTAGAATGGGGTTGTGGGGTACTTCAACACCAGTCATATTCTGGGAGTTTGGTAATGGTTTAGTCCCTATATAAATGAAAACAATCATGAACCGCCACATGCAAAAGCCGCGCCTGCGCTGCTGCGCTAGCTGCATCTGCTCGATCCAGTTCTTGTCGGGGGCCGCGTCACTGTCAGTGAGGCAAACCACCACGTCGCGGCCTCCCGATCCATTCAAGGGGTGGGATTGTACTTGGGGGACACTTGGCTTGGCCTATACACAGAAATTCAATGGTGTCAAAATGACGGGGGGACCCTGAACGTGATCGTTTTCCTCGCGGGTTCGTGTCAAAACCAACCAAAAGGGGTTCCCCACAAAAACGACCCCCCCCACGACAAAAAAACACATTCTGCTTGATATGAACGAGGGACCCTTCGGTGGACATCATGTTGGGGATTCATGTCCACCAACCATTCCCCATTGAAAATCATGGCCATATTTGGTCTACCCTACAAGATAAATTAGATTTAGAGGAGACCAGCTGGAGTTCTTCTGTCGATTCTATTTGGGGACCACTTCGGCATACCCGGGCACCCACAAGGGCATCTACACTTTTAGGGGGACCCTGCACATGAGCTGGTCTAAAAAGGGCTTCCCAGAAATGTCTCATGGAGTTCTACAACTGTTACTGATACACTCCGGCAGTACCCCACTAACATGGGCCTTGACCTCACTTGCTGAGTGGACTTGCCAAAACAAGTCCAAACTTGTTATTTGCCACTAAAATTGTCTTTCCAAACAGTTTACAGTCCATGAACGCGGGAGTGAGTGACTCAGATTCCATGGCAACAGTGGGCGGTTTTCTGTAAAGGAGTTGCTGAGCTTGAAACCTGCCTAAGGCGCCCGACCAACTGCGCGCTCTACGTGGCCCACTCCGCCCAAGCAAAGCCAAAGACAACACTCTCGGAACAACTTCTACTTGGCGTGGTTTAGGATTCGCGTTGCATGCATCCTACTCACCTAGGGATTAGGATCATTGCAAGAACTCTGATAATCAGAGGACTTCAGCGAACTAGTGTCCCACCAATCTGCGATGGCTATCGGGCTTTGAGATTTGATAAACATCGAGCCTGGGCAAATTGTGATACTTCACCCGTCGCAACCCCCCAGATTGACATGGCGATTTCATTTGCCCAAATAGGGCGAAATTAGCTGAAGATCTTTGTGGAAGACTACGAGAGGACCACAAGAAGTCCGGAAGACTACGAGCATTATGTGCCCGAGTCGCAGATTGATTTTCCTTTTATGAGAAATGTGTTGGTAAGTTTGACTCAATTGGTTCGTTGCCGCGGCTTAACAAACATGTCACCTGATTCACTTGACTCACTTCACAGAGCCATCCACAGCATTCAGCGCAAACAACTTCCCTCATACTCCCTCCCCGGGCGACATGGGTTGGACCTTTTCTTTCACAAAAGAGTTGTTACTCAATCGAGTCACAAATCGAAACCTGGTATAAAAATGGTCTACCCAAACCAGCCATGAAAGGAAATCAAAGGGCGGATATCGGCACTTATTTATTGTTGGGACTATATCCCTGACCTTCATCTACCCGAGCGCTTGATTGTGGCACAACTAATGAAAGGGCGCAGTGCCCCCTGTTCAGTGCTCGACCTGAAAAGCCGGACCCCCCTCACAAAAAAGAAGAAGGTGGTTTTCCTCTTGGTTTTCCCTTTAAACCCACCCAAAAAGTGGCAGCCCCAAAAAACGGCACTCTCATTTATCATGGGCTGTCGCTCCAAATCAGAATTGCTCGCCGATTCAAATAATTTGGCAGAACCATCAAGTTTCTCAATGCGAGGTGACTGGAATTGGCCTCATGGACATGGACCTCGACACCATTCCCCAAGAGGTATTGGCAGATCACCTTCTCAGGCTGGTTAGAAGAGAAGGTCCAACCCCATTTCATCACACGCCCATTTAGGCGTATCTTGGGCGAGGCCCCAAAATAGTCTTCGGTTTCCTTCTTGGCTTCCCTTTAAAACCACAACAAAAAAGGCACCTTCAAAAAAGCACACGCCCATCTGCAGATTGGAACCAAAAGCCTCGGGCCCATTGCCGCAGCAGCCGCAAGCCCACGGTCCGCGCCCCCGCGGGGCCCACGTTTTGGTGGAGCCGCACCTTTGGAAGACGCAAATTGCCGGCGGCTGTCTGGAAATCAGCTTCTCCCTGATTGGTTTGGATGTTAAGTGCCTTCCCCGTGTGAAATGGAACTGGGGTCAAGGCCCCAAACCACCAATCCAAACTGCCGATTTCGGGATACGAGAAACAGTGGGCTTTTCGGTCCTATCATTGTTGGTGTAGTACCAGTGGTAAAGAGTGGCTTTCTGTTTTACTTCGAAGGATAGGTAAACTGAAACTGTTTCTTAGGGCTGGCACTGGCCGTTAGACGTGGTTTAGTAAGTGGTTTGGTGTGAGTTCAATGGGTCGCAGCTGGTTTAGGGCGTGAGAAAGTGAGTTTTGGGCAGTTTTGGTGGCGCCGAGACCAATCCCAAACCCGCCCAAAACTCACCAAGCAACACCCTAAAGTGACCCGTGCCAACCCAAAACCCACCTCCAACAGCATCCTGGGCGCCAGCCCTTTGCCAAGGCCAAATGAACCTCAAACCAACCTAAGGCCCGCCCCCAATAAAATCTCAGGCAGCAACATCTCACCCTAACCCACCCCTAACCCGAGCGACGCCCCAGTCAGGTTTCATCTTGGTGGATGGAGAGGTTATATTCCTGGCTAACTCCAAGTGTGCTTTGCAGGGTCATTTCCCGCCTGGCTTAACTGGAATACTAGCAACTTGTTAAGTGCCAGAGAACCAGCCAGTTGGGTACTTCTCAAAGATCTAGGGATTGATTCCCCATTCTTTCGATTGTGATATTTTCCAACAACCAGCCGTGTTTCTTGGTTTCCGCAGGTTAAAAATGGGGGAAGTTATCCCTGGAAACGAATGGTTGCTGTTGGCTTCCCTTTAAACACATTTTACAAGGGGCGCCTGCATGACCTGAACAAAAATGGGTTGTCACCCGGAAGAAAGGGGATGTGTTGTTCGGGTCAGGAGACTCCAGGCATAAGTCTTAATCCAATGGCTTGATGCATGTTAAGACCAGGGTGTGCCTGTTTTGTGGAGTCGGACCCCCCAAAATGGTGGTTGTCCTCTCGGTTCCCTTAAAAACACCAAGAGAAGGGTACCCTCACCTCCTTTTGCCTAAGTCCCCTGGGAAAAAAACAACAACAACATATTTCCAGCAGCGATGAATTCCCTTTAAGGCCATGTGGAAGATGACACATGTTCTTAAGCAAGTGCCAAAAAGACACACGCTTCGCCCGAGTATCGAGAGCCGAGGTGCGAGCGCCAGGCCGGGCCCCTGCCACAGCTCCTTCTCCTGCAAATTCTGCGGGGAGAAGTCGTCCACCTGACGACTAGTCCTAGTGGGTGGTTTTTAGGGTAGATTCTGCGACCCACTTGCCCAGTTTGGACCTGGCAAATACAAGGTTGACTAAAATCATGGCGGAATTGAGATGTGAGTAATAGATACATCGAAAACCGCCCTATTCCTCTAATCCAGCTGGTAAAAGTGTTTTCTTTAAACCCAGCCCCTAACCCAGGAAAGCGATGAGGTGTGCATGGTTTCTTGAGTCTACCCTTTTGGGGTTGGTGGAGCGTAAGCTTTCAGAATTTCCGATTTCCCTCATACGCATCACACCAACAGAAACATACAGGGTTGCCTCCACTTTCCTTTTTGGAACCTCCCGAAGTGGCCGTTTCAATAGAAACCACCAGTCAGTTGCAGCTTTGGAAGAGGAAGCCCGATTGGTGCCGCTAGGGTCCAAACAACAGATTGGAGGTTGAAAACACGGTCCTTCTAGTGGAATAGATTAAAATCAGGGGTGGCCGTCTCGGGGGTTCCTCTGACTCTGACCCGAAGTCGCATTGAGCCGCTTGTTTAGAATCCTAGCGATCATTGGTTGGACCCTGCATTGGAGGGGGTGGACCCGGCAAACGGCTTCCCTTGAACCACCGCCAGAAAGTAGCACCGGGCTTGTTCTCCATCCAAGCTGTGCATTGGAGGTGCGTGAGCCTTGGGGCAAACAACCTTTGGCAAAACAAACGCAATAGGACAATTTGTTGCTTGTTGTTTGTTTGTTTGTTTGTTTGTTTGTTTGTTTGTTTGTTTCTTACTTATTTGTTATCTTCGTACATGAAAACAGTGTGAGCGTAGAAGGATAACTGCATGGGGAAAGCATGCATGTTGTGTTGGGTAGTTACGCAAATGTTGTTTATGCAACTGCACACATGTGCTTGGGTTCCTTGCACTTTTGCGGGGCAACAAACTGTTTGCCACACATCTCCCTGTGTGAACCATTGTGCAAATAGTGCAGTTCTAAAACCTGAAATGGGCATGTCTCTCGGAAGCTCATTATCAACTGGAGAAACGAACTTGAGGGGGTGCGAGATTGGGAACAGAAGGTTTGTGGACCACCTATCTCCCATCTGAAGTAGACTGGATGCCCGCGAAGCCTCCCTCATCACTGGTCTCCCCCACACCTTTCGTAGGTGTACTGGAAACGCCAATTTGTTTCCAAACACTCGGCCTCTCCTCTTAACCGCGATTCGGACCAGCTCCAAGCTGTGTCCGAGTTCCTGGCCAGGATGACGGCGTCCGGGGGCTGCGTCTGAGAAGCCAAGGCTGACAAGGTCGCCTTCAGCTCCTTAACGTCCTGCCAGAGTCGGAATCCCACGGCCATTTTCTGACGTTCTGTATCCAACTCCAGCTACTTAAGTAGGCCAAGATTAGCGGGGGTTCTTTTACCTCCACTGGATTTTAATGGGAAAAAAGGATCGGAGGCCATTTTAAAGGGACTCCTCCCAAAAAAGCAAATGGGCACTGGAGGTCAGAGTTTCTTGAGCCTTGGTGTTTGGGGCCCAGGGATAGTATTTCTGCGGGTGGGAAGACAGCTTTGCCACAGTTTACGAGTTTCTTGCAAGGAGGGTGTTATATAATGGGGCCTCCAAACGTCCAACATCTGCTTTGCTATGTTGGGCCGCGCCAAACACAGGATTGGCTAAGACTCATAGCTCTCGCTGTTGGGCAAGTATCTAACTTGAAAACACAGCTTTGATATTTGAGAAATGATGCAGTCCTAAAGTTATCTTTGAAATAATTACTCGCTAATCATCTGGTGCCAAGTTTGGGGTGCCTGCTTTTGGGGGATAACATGTCCTACGGACGTGCTCTATGTTGCGCCCGGTATGCCCCAAACAAAACAAACATCAGCCCCACTGACACGAACATCAAACCTCCGGCCAGGGAAGGATGCCATGCTTTGCTTTTGGAGGTCTGGGTCTGGGGCTTCAAACCAAGTCGAAACTTGGGTGATCCACCACCAGATCCAAGGCTGTTGTTGCTAAAGGAAAGCCATTGCCCATGGATGTGTGAAGCTGGCTTTCTGTTGGGAATTGTCGAAAAAGAGAAGGAAGTACAGCTAGACACTTGCACAACTGCAAAAACGTCATGACCCGAAGAACAAGCCATAGGACATGTTTAATGAGTACACATCTAGCTTGTGCTTGTGTATTTCTAGCAATACCTTCCCCTGGGATTGATCACTCCTGTCACAAAATGTCCAATCCAGGGAATGCGCGGCACCCTCTGAGACGGCGGATGAACCTTAGATACTTGAATCCATGCCACCAAGCTTGCGTTTTCGAATAAGTCTGACGTTGAAGTGAAGGAATGTATTCCAAAAAGTGTTTTTGTTGCTGTTTTGGGCGATTCCCATGGTCAGCTTTCCTGCAGTTGGTGGTTTGGTTTGGAGGCTAGGGTTCCCGTCTACCCTCTACTAGGTTCAAATCCCCAAACTACCAATCCAACCCCCCCCCAATGTAGGGTTACCTGATATGGTTTGGGTTTTGCGGTTTTGGCTTTGTCTCCTGAAAGCCTCGGTGCGGACGGGACTTCATTCCCACAGCAAAACTGGGGGCTGATGAACGCAAGGTGTTGGCTTACGCCTCTTTGCAAACAAGGTGGGCACGGGGCCCGGGGTTCCGATTTACAACATCACTACGAAGAGAACCTCACAAATCAAATGGGACAAAAAGGTGCTGTTTGACACCACCCAGTGATTCCGTGTACATATATAGTTGGAGATTAAAGGAACCACCCTGAACAAAAACAAAAGAGAAATAGCTGGCTACCTAGTTTCTACAGTGGAAACTGGGATCTGGGCTACTTTTGAAGGGAAAATCCAGAAATCGACCCCTGACGGCCCGCGGCCATCGCGATCATCACGATTCGATCGCCGATCGAGCAATCGAAAAACGCCTGCGGCGTGCGCACCAGCGTGGGCAGCACCACCGCAGTGGCTTGTTTCCCTGGCGCTTGCTTTGGGTGTTCCACCAAGTGGGAAGTAGACTAGCCCAGTAATTCCATTTGCCCAATTTTATAAATAACCAAAAAACAACCCTTTCAAAAAATATATATTAAAAGGATAATAACTGGGTACCTGCTATTATATTGGTTCCTGAGAACCACTGGGTAGTTCATAACTTCTAACCCCCTCAGAAATCCAAGTTAACCCGGCTACAGGTGACTTTAAATACTAATCACTTACTAACTGGGCCGAACACACAAGTGAAGACCCCTTGGACATGAGTCTTAACCCCCCCCTCACCCCACCCCAAAAACACAGCAACAGATTCCACCAATCTACACACGCGTGCGTGCTTTCTTTGGGAATGGAGTTTGTGGTTGGACTCAAAGGGCAAACACAAGCAACTCACTTTGCCGGAATCTATATTTCCCCGTTGAACATCACCCCACGAAGTTCAGCTAAGATTGGCAGAAGGTTTTAACCAGCCCATGAAATGCTCAACGCTTGCGAATGCGCATGTTTCCTCAAAACGTAAGAGGAGCCTTCAGGTGTTCTATATTGATGGGAAGATGGGGGTAATGTTACACCTCCTTTACTAATAGTCCACTCTATTGTAGCATTTTTTCCGCAATTCAGGATCTTGTGACTGTTTTGGGGTCCTCAATTGCAGCAATTATTCCCCCCCCCCCAAAAAAAAAAAAGAAAACTAGTGCTTTTTGGTTTTTTTCTCTTGATCTTGTCTAGGGCTAAGCCTCCGATAAAATATGGGCCAAACAAACTTGGCAAAGAAGTCGAGCAAAAAACCCGAGCAAACAAATCCGGGCAAACAGGATCTTTTGAAGTGGTCCCCAAACCATCAAATTTAAGATAAATTCCTTACAAACAAGTGCAGCCAAACAGTCACACAAAGGGGGGTGCCCATCAGGGGCCCTGATCCTCTTTTGATGTGACTGTCTTGGGGTTATCTTTAGTGTCCAACGGCATTTTGGGTTGCTGAAGTTATTAGACTCAAGCCTTAGCCTTTTACTTTTAGGGCGGTTCACCTAACCAAGCTCTTCCCAGCTCAAAGGGTAAAGGCCTTGGATCCAGGAAGTTCATTTTGCCAGTGGCCCACAAACCATCAAATTTAAGATAACTTCTTTACAAAAAAGTACGGGCAACCAGTCTTGCAAAGGGGCTCTTTAATGCGACTGTTTTGGGGTCCTCTTTAGTGTCTAACCTGTTTGGGGGTTGCTGAAAAAAAAGGTCCTTGGCAATACTAAAGTAGAATTGGCAATAATAAAGTAAGTGCTGGGAATCTGACCCGCAATACTAAAGTAGAATTGGCAATACTAAAGTAAGTACTGGGAAGCTGAGGGTCAGCCTTGGCAATACTGAAGTAGAATTGGCAATACTAAAGTAAGTACTGGGAATCTGAGGGTCAGCCTTGGCAATACTAAAGTAGAATTGGCAATACTAAAGTAAGAACTGGGAAGCTGAGGGTCAGCCTTGGCAATACTGAAGTAGAATTGGCAATACTAAAGTAAGTACTGGGAATCTGAGGGTCAGCCTTGGCAATACTAAAGTAGAATTGGCAATACTAAGTAAGTACTGGGAATCTGAGGGTCAGCCTTGGCAATACTAAAGTAGAATTGGCAATACTAAAGTAAGTACTGCCCCTCCCAGACCCGCAGGATCTCGCTTGAAGAGGGTCCAACTGATTGGTTCCACTCCTAGCGAAAAAGGGGGGGTGGTGTAAACAGGGTGCAACATTACCAACGTCAGCGACCTGCATGGCCCGCACACAGAGGGAAGCGATGGGAGTACCAGCCCTTCAATGTGGACCGGGACCCTACACGTCAAGGGGATGGGTGATCAACGTACCACACCATGCACAGGAACCCCGCAACACAGAGGGATTCCCCCATGTGACGTGCAACTACCTCTGGCATGGTATTCTTTGACACTACGCCTGTGGCTTTTTTTTTTTTTTTCGCAAGCACACGATGATCTTTGCGCAGTGTCTTTCGTTTTCTTTGCAGGTTGCTGTTCGAGGATGTTGCAGAGCAGGGTGTGGCAAAGCAATGCGCCCTGTGCTTGCTTGCCATCTGGAGCCTACGGTGGAATTCAGCGGCAAGGCATGGGGGTGACCACTGGGCACCTTATGGAAATCTGCTTCCGCGATACCGCAGGGTCTTCCAGACTTACTCTACTCTTGCCCAAACCTCTTGTTTGGTACTTGAGTTTGAAAGGAAACCCACTCACCAAAAAAGACAGGACCCCACCAAAGGTGTGGCTTCGGGAAGCCTCATTCTCACCATGGGAGAGCAACATTCAATGACTAAGGACCGGCCTTCAAGTGTTAGCCCGCTTCAAGTGGGAATCGACCAACCCAATTCTATCAACTTCTACAACCTCGGTGGTTTTGTTTCTATGTTGAGTTGCCGGAGTGAGTTGTTTGTTCCTTCCGGGAGTGGCTCACGGCTTAGACAGGGCGCCGGGTCGGTTTGTTGGTTGGTTGGGTGGGTGGGTGCTGGTTGCCAACTAAAAAAACACGAAGCTCCAGGGAAGCTTGTTCCAGTTTCCTCCAATGTGTTGTTGGTGGCGGGGGAACTTGTCTATTAATAATTTGTGTATAGGTGCAATGTCCCGTCCAAGTTGCATGGTGCTCCTGACTAATTACTAATCCGAAGTCAACGCCAATAGCCCATTTCCGTGTTTCTGTTTGTTTTTGTATTATGAAGCAGGCCGATCCGCCTCGTTGGGTTTTCACGGAAAGTCGCAAGGGACGCCACCAGTTTGGCGGTCCCCCTGTTTTGACACAAATGTGAACACGCCACACGTTTTTGACATCTCGCACGCCTGTGCTTTGCCGCAGCCGGTCTGCCACCTGCGGGAACATCTCCAGGTGCACCTCGAAGTCGATTTCACCCGCCCCGTCCAACAGGTGTGGAAGCCATCTTGCAGTTTGAGATAAACCTACATGAGAGTAATTCGTTTAAGGGAACCCCCCAAACATTTTCTGGTGTTCCTTGTGGATTTCCGCTTAAACACCACAAAAGGGTACCCTCAACAAAGACGCTCCACTTGTAGAATAGTAGCCGACAATATTTCCACCAGAAAACGCAAAGAAAATCCGGACCTCCCAAAACTTATTTTCAGTGCTGTTTTTGAGGGCATCCCTTGTTTTGTGGGTCTTAAAGGGAAAGCCAAAAGGAACATCAGCATTTTGGAGGTCCCTTAAAAAAAAAGACACGCCCATTTATATATGTTCATATATATACGTACATACATACATTCTTGCTGGGCATTCGCCTTACAGGAACCCCTTTCCATGGCCATTTCTGGCTGGGTTCCCTTTAGTTCCCCTTTAAGACAACCGAAAAGGGTACCAACAAATTGACCTAAAACATGAGTGAATCGGTCTTGTGGCACAAAAGCCAACTGGCCCCTTTTTCTTACTGTCAAAGTCACCCCAGAGGTACATTCAAGGGATACCACCAACCAGATTCGGAAACAGAACCAAGATAATGACACCAGCGACTTGCTTTCAGAAAGCTCGGAAGCCGAAGAACTGAGAATTCCCATTCCTGGAAAAATGCCCCTGTTTGTGGCATTCATCATTTGGGTGCGTCTTTCTTTGGGGATACCCCCTTTTTTGTGGTTTTAAAAGGCCACAAAAAAGCCGCAATTGTTGGGACAGGCCCTTGGGGTCTGGCCTTCACTTGTGGGTTTTTGTTTGACCTCATCTCCGTTTCCGAAAAGCAGACCTGCCCCCTCGTTGAGGGCGTTGGTTGTAGCTGCTTTAGACATAGCTGTCCAGTGGGCGAGTCACTTTGGATTATCCTTTTCCAAGGCTCACAATGTCCTGATGCAATCACCCTTGAACTTGCGCGCCAAAGCTTGGTCAAGTGATGTCAGAAGGGCGCACCTTGCCAGGGTTCTCATGTTCACGTGAGCAACCTGCCAAATGATCAGAGTGCTCTGGTTGGCCATTGTCCTTTTCAAAGGGGGCTGGCAGGTGGCTGGATGTGTTTATTGGTGTCCGCTATAGGTTTGCTGTGGTCATGCCAGGGCTAGACCATGGATAACAGATTCTGTTATGTATCCAGTTTGGGGACCTTAGCAGCTGACAAGGTCAAGGGCAACCTTAAAGTTTGTCGATATAGCTAAACTCCTCTATGCTGATATCAACCCCAAACAAGTTCAATAAAAACGCATTCGAATGTTGACTGAGCTTCAAGAACTAGATGATTCATAGGGGTATCCCATTTCAAAGGAAACCCTTCGCCTTTGCGGGTTTCCTCACCCCCGATTGAGCCGTTGTTTGTTTCTTGGGGCACGCAATGCGAGCGTTTCCAGTTCACCAACAATTCCGCTGACCTGCTAGCTTCGGAATGATGAGAGGTGCTCCCCCCCCCTTTCTCTCTCTCTCTCTCTCTCGGCCTGCGTGGCGAAATCAACCACAGCCTCAGCAAAAATACCAAGTCCACCCCCTCATTTCTTTACTTGCCCAAAGCGAAAGGTTCTTCTTCTGGACTAAATACCGACCAACAAGGGGAAACCAAAACACGATGCGCCGATCCCGGACCAACCAACTGGGATCCGTCCAAAACGACGACCGTCTTCGACTCATTCGTCAGTCGAAGAAGCCGCACAAGCACGCTGACCCTCCTGTATCAAAAACAAACAAACACGCAAACGCAACTGTCACAACACCGCAAAAACAAACCAACACACATCCAAAGCCATCATGCCACTCAGCAACACCGCGCAACACAAACAAACACACAAGCAAACCGAATCAGCAAACCAACAAACCCATTTTTTTGACCAAAGGAAGGGAAGGATCAACAAAAAGGCGATAACCGCAAAGATGCCACAACATGTACCGCTTCCTCTCGGACCGGATTGAGGATGCAGCCATGGCCTCCTCCCGGCGCTTCATTAGGCGCTTGAGCGCGCTCTTCCTGGAGGCATAGGGATGTCTGTTCGGCCAAGTAGGTTGTTGGCCCAGGTCACCTGCAGCCAAGTTACTAAGTTGTTGGTAACCTGGGTTACAAGTGTTTGAGCCCCGCATTCAGTGGAGTCATATAACCTTGTTTTTGCCCTTTGCAGTCAGTTTGTTTGAAGGAAAGCAATGCAAGGCCACCCTACATGATTCCCCTGTTTAGGGACACACCCATATTTTGCGCCCAACCCGTCCCACCTGAACAGGGAGGACCTTGTTCTTTCCAAGAGGAAACAATGAAGATACGAGGAAAACGCCATGCTTGGTGGTCGCAAGTTTCTGACAGGTTCGACTGGGCAGCCCAAGTTAGCAGGAGCCAGCTTTCCTGAAAACCAATGGGGAAGACTCCCTGAATCAAGTCGCGAACACTGGACGAAGACCTTGCTTACAAAGGCAATCCGGACATTTCGGTCAAACCAGGGAGCAATATGGCCATGGGTCAAACCCCGGCAACATCCCAATCCCCACTAAAATAGACTAAAGTGGGTGCACCTATCCCAAGATGGTACCATTGGTTTTGAACCATGGTGATATGGAGCACCACAGAAGCAATACGGTTCAGGATAGATCTAACTCAAGTTGCAGCCCCTGAATCCGCCACACTCCTGGCGAAGGCTGCGCGCCCCCGGTAGCCACCAATGGTCCCCACCTTAATTGCGCAGAGCTCCAACGTGCCGGTGGGTTTTGAGGCAGGGAGAAGCGAAGGCCCAGGCGTCTCACTTCCGAGCGGATAAATGGATAGGCCGCGAAAAGTTTGGGTGTACCGCTGAACATGTCCACCAGCATGGTCTTCCGCAAAAGGGCCTAAAGTCTCGGAAACTTTGTTTGTCTTCTGAGGCGAAGGGGGCACCCTTCTCAGGTTAAAGGGAAACCACAAGGCAAACCCCTAAGCTTTTTGGGTACCTCTTTTTCACCACACACCCAAATTCAGGGAAAGCGACTGGACTTTCTCAGCACAAATCCGCCGACATTGCTCGGCGGTCGGATACTTAAGAGAGGATAGAGGATACGTGGGCTTTAGGGGTCCCCCAATTTGATGACGTTCCACAATGTGGCAAAACAGGTCCCAGGCTCGAATCCCCCTGCCGGCTCTTTGCTGGTTCAGGTTGTTCTGCCTCCTTTTGCCGAAAATATTGAAAAACCCTTTGTGTGTTGACCTCCTTTTTGCGAAAACGTAGGAAAAACAGCGTTTGTTTCGGGAAATCACCGGGGAGTGACGGGGAATGCAGGGAAGTGCAGTGTAATGAAGGGGAGGAAATAAAGGGAAATGCAAGGACATGCAGGGGACAGGAAGTGGACAGGAAAGCAAGGGGAAATGAAAGGGAAACGAAGGGGAACTAAAAGGGAAAAGCAGGGGAAAGGAATGAGAACAAGTGGAGTGAAGGGGGAATGAAAGGGAAACAAAAGATGAGGCAACCAAAGGACACGAAGGGAGATGTAGGGAAACAACTAACAATAAAAGGGACATACATGGAAAATGAAACGGACATACCGAGAAAATGCCAGAGAAATGAAGGGGGGATTGGAAGGAAAGGAAGGGGGCATGACGAGGAAATCATAGGGCATGACGAGACATGGACAGGACATGAAGGGGAAATCAAGAGGAAAGCCAGTAGTAAGAAGACAATGCAGGGGTCATGAAGGGGCAGCGCACGGAAATCGAAGCAACTCAGGGGGGACATGACGCTACAATGCAAACGAAGAGAGAGAGAGAGAGAGAGAGAGAGAGAGAGAGAGAGAGAGAGAGCGAGAGAGAGAGAGGCATAAAGAGAAAGGCGGAAAGAGACAAAGAAAGAGACAGAGAGAGAAGGGATGGGGAGGATGGGGAGGAGAGAGAGGGAGAGAGGACGAGGGAACAAACGGGCGAAGGGAAAAGAGAGAGAGAGAGAGAGAGGAAGATGGAGAAAAGGAAGAGGACAATGTCGGCAAAGTGAGCCGGAGGCTCTAAAGTTTCGGACCCCTTTGGTTGGTGGAAAGGGGGTATTTTAAGCAACACAACCATTTCACCGAACCCTACTTTGAGAAAGAGCGAACGACTGGCACTGGCACGTTTGAAAAATGAAACCAGGTTGGAACCCATCTATTATATTTCGGTAATGTTTCTTTGGAAGACCCCTCAAAATGAGCGGTTTCCTGTTGGTTTCCAAGTAAAACCAGGCAAAAGGGGGGCCCACAAATCACAATAAAAAGACACACCCGTTTCGAGAGAAAAGACCAAGGACGTTTGCCAGCAGGGTTGCTCCAAAGACCAAAGCGTCACACCGGAGAGCCATACCAGGCTTAGCATCCATCTAGCGGAGATCATCCAGAGAGGACATTGAATCCACCGCTGCGTTACCTCCGCGGTCAGCCACGCTCCATGCATCAGAGAATCGGAAGCTGGAGTCCAGCCCATCAGAAACCCTGGCTGCTGTTGCTGGGCCATGTAGAAGTTGGGGAGACCAGGCACTAGGTCGACGTTGACGCCCAGTTCTGGCATTCTCATGTTTGCACTTGGACCTCGCAACGTGTTCATGGGTGCCCCAAAACTGTGGTTTTCCTGATGGTTTCCTGTTAGCCGCCCCCCCCCAAAAAAAGAAGAAGAAACAAAAGCAGAACGATGCACCACATGTTTGTTTCAGTGATAGGTATAAAGTAATCTCACTCTACCCCAGGGAGGTTAGGGAAAGACACACCCCGAGGCAGACAATACCCAAGACGTGGATAAGCTCCTTTTGTCGGGCCTGATGACTTCTGAAGCTGAGTTGTTTCCAATGGGACGCAAACTATACCGGTAGCCGTTGTTTTTGTTCAGGGCACCGTCTGGCAGACACAGTTTTCCTGGGTGCGTACCTGCTTTGCCATAAAGGGGCTGACGTCAGCAAGAACAACGGTATCTGGAGTGGGGACCAATAAGAGTGTCAGTTGCTTATCCGGAAACTCTGCGAAGGCCTGAACTGATTTGGCAACTTGGCCCGACAATCGTGGGGTGGGGGCTTTGAGGGGTTTGCAGGATCCCGGCATGTGACCGAGTGCAAAATAGAATTCTGGAAAGATACGACAATTACCCACCGAGCCGATATGAATTGAATTGTCTATCAAGGGAGCTCCAAAATGAGTGGTTTCCCACTGGCTTTCCTTGGAATCAACCCCAAAGAAGGGTGCCCTCAAAACAGAGACATTTATTTTACGTGACCAAAGTCTTGATTGATCATGAGTGGTTGTTTCGCATCACATAATTTTGTCTGCTCGCAATAATGATGTTGAGACGTTCTGTATTTGCTATTCTTCCCCTGGTAAATGGAACCAAGGACTAACACCTGCGGTCTCCTGGTGGTTAAACTTTGACCCATCCCATATATACCGTGTTCCCTCTTGATCGACTTCGTTTGCACACACAGCTCCCCATGTGCTCCTTTAAACCTCCCAAAGAAAACTCAAGTAACAGTGGAAAAGCGAGCCCAGCTCAGAAAGGGCGAACCTGGTGACCCCTTCATACAGGAGTTCATATATTCTCCCGTAAATCATCACCCCTACCAAGGGAAACTTACGACCCTGCCTGAAAAGTGGGTGGGCACCGAACACCGAGCTGACTTTTGGCTCTATGCTGGTTATGCAGGCGTACAAGTTGGTGTGTCTTTTCTTAAGGTACCCCTTTTGGGGTAGTTTGCGGAACACCTTAAAAGAACACCACCTTTCTGGGGATCCCCTAAAACGACACGCCCGAGTAGGCTTGACGACACTGCCATCAAATCCATGTTATTCCCACCCTATCGCGCCACAGGTGTTCCTGGGCACTATCCAGGTTCGGCAGACTTAAACCAAGAGGGTTGTCTTTGGGGAAATAAACCACACCTGGGTTCATCCAGTCAAAAATGGAGCCCTACTATCCACCAAGACTGGGAAGTAAAGCCCCTTACCGGGGGGTTTGCGGCCCCGTTGCTGTCTTGCTGGACCGAATTGCCTCCAACCCCCCAAACCCCCAAACCCCAAAGCCCCAACCCCCAAACCTCTGAACCCCCAGCCCCACTGGGGTCAGGACCACTTTAAAAAACATGAAGGTCAGCGTCCAGTAAAAAGACTTGGGCACCTGGCATCAGAGATTTCGGCTTGGGCAAAATACTACTCCAGGTTGCGGGGAAACCTCCGCAAACTCGTTGAAATTGGCGTGTCTCAAAATCCTCAAAACGGCATCGGTGTTCCTGTTGGCTTTCCTTTCAACAAAAAGCACAAAAACTGGGTACCCTCAACAAATGACACACACACACGCACACACACACACAACAGTGCCCAGTCAACCCCGAAACCCAAGCATCAGACTCATGCCACAGCCAAAATTAGCAGTTTCTCCGAGAGGACAGGGAACACTGGCAAGCGCTCCAGTAGTCACCATGTCTTTCCGAACGTCCCTGGTCACGTGATAAAACCCTTATACGGCCCTGGCAAACGCGAATAACTAGACATCAGATGCGAAACTCTGCCTTGCAAGGCCGGCGTAAGATGTCTCCCCTTTTTCCAATCGGTCCCCCTTTCTGTGGTTTTAAAGGGTCAGCCAGAAAACCACAATTGCGAGAGTCCCCCTAAAAGAAAAAACACCGCCATCTTCCAATCATGGAACTGGTCTGAGTCAGAGCCGGGCCAAGAACATGACTATTAGTGACAAATGACTATTAGAAGCGAGTAAACCTGGGCCATCGCCTTCCCACGGCTCGGATAGCGCTGCGCTTGCACAAGGCCCTTTGAGCCGGATGGGGGACTCATATGGAAGTTTCAGGCAATGGCTCCACAGAATTTGTGTCTGCTTTGTTCCTCCTTTTCTGTGAGCTTGACACGATGGCGTCATTCGCAGGCATGTGTTCTGTTTGCTACACAATCTGCCCAGCACTGACAGTAGAGAACAATCTCTTGCGGTGCGTGCCACAGTGATTAATATATTTCCCACACAGTATTGCACTATACGGCCCTTCAGGAATTTGAGGGCCTTCTATTTCCAGTGTATTGTTTGCGGCGCTTTGCTGCGCCGCTCAGCCCAGCATCCCAAAGCAGCCGCCATCCAGCTGGAAAAAATGGCTATAATATTTTTCTACAATGGATACCCTCCAGAACCAAACACCATTAAACATGTCTATGTGTGTGCGATCCCGTGCTTCCAGCTCCAATACCTGCTACATGTACTATGGCTTCCTCGAAATTCAGCGTCGAGGGTCCTACGCAATGATCAAAGTAATTACATGGCACAACTCCTTCACGGGGACAAGTGAAGGGGATAGGCAAATCAAAACAAAAGAAGAATTGTGCCATCTACTTTCACCAACTATGTGCCAAACAGATTTCACCGTGGTACACTTTTGTGCCAAAGCCCAGTTGCTCCGACCTGGTCGAGATAGGCATTCACCATCTGTGGTTGGCAGCCCACAGAAGAAAAAGACAAAAAGGGTGCTTGTTGAACGCTTGTAAGGCTTCAGACTATCCTGCGGTAAGCTTTGGGTCAGGGCATTTCCGGGTATAAGTAGTGAAATTATGGATGCTTGTCTCCAACCAATCAGCTTGTATCGCAGTCTATACCCCTCGTACAGTGGCAACCTCCATACCTCCAAACCTCACCGGGTAATGCCCTTTTCCAGCTTTCCCCTTAGTAGGGGTGGTTCTCTACCCTCTACAAACCCAGCTGTTCAAATCCAAATCCAAACCACCAATCAAAACCACCAACAAGGGGGTATTTGACTTTTGGGGGGTGCAGTCTATCCCATTTGGGGTGGGTCGAGTCGTTGAAGAACGCGGCGCCTTGTCCCAGTGGTTCGGATTCGCCCAGAAGGCGGCACCCTCCGAGCCGCGAGCATGTTACACACGACTTTCGCTGACCGCGGGGGGGAAAAAAACACACACAAAAAAACTGCCTTTCCTTTCTCACAAGAGAACCCTGGCGTTTGCTGAAAGGGAACCAAACAATTTTGTTGGAACAATGATTCAATGGTTCAATCTACAGCCGGTTGCACATGTTTGCTCCCTTTCAGATCTGCATGGAACCCAAACTGCGGGGTCCCCTTTCCCCAAAAAGAGGACCCTCTAACCATGGATGTTTGGGTGCCACATGCTTTGCAGAATATCATTCAGAGCCACATGCTTCCGTCGGAACTGTCTGTTACAGGCCCCATAGCTCTTTTGTTGCTGGCCCACCTGCAAAAACAATTCTCAACATACGAGCCATAGCAAAAAACACAGACTCCTGCGATTGGATATCGGTTGATTGATTGATTGATTGATTGATTGATTGATTGATTGATTGATTGATTGATTGATTGATTGATTGATTGATTGATTTTGATTGAATGAATTAATGATTGAATGATTGAATGATTGAATGATTGAATGATTGAAGGATTGAAGGATTGATTGCTCACAAACGTGCTTTGCAGCCAAACAGTTGGCCGCTCCGGCGATGAGTGACTCTCTTCATGTTTTGTGAAGAAACCCCAGCACAAAGGCAAGACTGACCGAACCATGCAACACATGTTGCAAGTAAGGCAAATTCGCTTCACGCAAAGCACTTGGTGCCGTGCACAAGGCGTTCGCAGCCTCTTCAGTTCCCCTTACAACCCGCAAAACAAAGGGGTACCGAGCCTCCACAAAAAGAAGCACATCCCAATACATCAAGACCCAATGCCCAGATCTTCACGTCCCGACCCGCAGTCTCCGCCTTGAGCGTTGTCTTCCAGCTGGGCGGCCGTGCAATGTCGTCCCCGGAGTTGGCCAACCTCGCCACTTGTTGGATCGACTCGATCCATGCACGCCAAGTCGCGAGCAAAAAAGGCGATGCGTTTGCCATGTACCGGCAAGCGAGCCTTTGGGTCTCAGCAACGTTTCAGTTGGGTGTCCGTTGGTTGTTTTGTTTGGTGCATATTGACATTTTGCTTCGCGTTTTAAAGGCAACACCTCCTTGGGTGGTAGGTTCTTGGAACACAAAAAGGAGAAAACCATGTTGGTATTCCCCTCGGAGAAGCCAGACGGCCTCCAGTTCCCGAAAAGGGGGACATGGTAAGCCAGCGACAAAGAAGGACGCACCCCTCCAACACCTGCCCACCGTTAGTTCAGTTGCCGTTTTACAACACCCCCCTCCCCGACTTGGATGGTTTGGGGCTTTGTCCCATGCCCTTTAGATTTTTCATATTTTGTGGGGCGGGAGGGATTTGAAAGGGCAACCAACGGAGAAAAAAAAGGATGCCGATTGTCTTTCAACCCAAAGAATCTCTCTATTGACCACAATTTTGGCCACACAAGTTTGGATAAATCCCTTTGGAGGTCTGCGGGGGGGTGCGCTGCTGGGTCCCTTGGATGTTCCTTGCAACCATGCTAGGTCAATGCAAGTGTCTATAGTTCAGCTCCACCTGAGGGCACGCAACATGCTAGTAACCATGTTCTCTGATTTGCCTAAACCACAAGGGGATGATGGCTTGTCTTGCACAGCCCGGATTTTGTAAGCTGAAGGCAATCACTTGAAAGCAAAACGGGCACCACAGGTTCACACCGACTGGGTTCTGGTTGCTAGACAATCAGACCTGTGGCCATGGCAGAGAAGAGGACTAGCTTTTGGTGCTAAGAACCCCCTCCAATTGAAGAACTTCTGCGCCTACTGCCCCCCCCCCAACAAAAAGTGCTCTTCGCTTCGTGCTCTTGGGGAAACACGAAGCAAGTCAACTAAGTTGGAGTCGGCCAAAGATCCAATCCAAAAGTTGTTGGGGCACTAGGTTTCTTCAACGAAAGGGCACAGGTCTGAGCTCTGGGCGCCCTCCGCGTAAGCTGCGGGACATGCGAAGGCCTGGCTCGAGCACGAAATAGACGTCTGCGCATCAAGCCAAATTGTTCAGGGGTGCTAAACCGGTTTGTTTTTTGCGTCAGAAGGTACCAGTTAACAATGGGTGTCTGAATATGTTCATGCGGTTCTGGAGGTGTATTTCTGCAATCATGGAAGTGGACGTTTTGTTTTTGCCTTGTTGAAAAGCATGGTAGTCTTCCACACCCACCCCATCCACTTCCATGATTGGAAAGAGGGTTATCTCCACTGCACCCCCGAAATGGTGCTCTCCCCGGTTGCCCAACGGTTTCCGGATTCGTTGGCTTCGCCCTTTGTTTCACAAACACTCGGGCAACTCGGTGCTGCCCTCGCACGAAGTCCACAATATCTTCCCATTTCGTCAGACCAGCAGTCCCAAGCATGCTGTCTGTGCCTCGCTCAGGATGGTACTTGAGGCCTGGCATGTTGTAGAACTCAATAACCGCTGAGTGTGGCTTCGACAGCACCAGACTGCGGCATTTCTCCTCCGAGCCTGGATCTGTGGACTCCGGCTTTGATTTGGGCGCAGCCTTGGGCGCACGCCTAGCAAAAGGCTTGGACGGATTGCCTGAGGAGGCTGAGTTGGCTGTAGAATGCAGGGCAAGTGGTTCCTCCTCTTGATCATGATCTTGACCGTCCGCCTCTGTGCCCTCCAACTCCTTGCGCAGCAGAGTGTTGCAAATACAATACAATCGAGTCTTGTCAAATCATTGAAGTCCAGGGTGGCGAACAATAATTTACATTTGTGCAGCTGAAGTCACAGCTTAGTTTTGCGTTTGCTAACTATCCTATCAGATCAGACTATCAGATTAGACTCCTGAACAAACCGACTTTCGACTCGTCAAATGTGCCTTTTGATCCACGGCCCTTGGAACGTCGCAAGCACCAATTTGTCAAGTCCAGAGTGGGACAGCTGCCTATTTAAGCATGTTTAAACACCTACTGGTTGAAGATCCTCCTTATGAATGCCCTTTCAAGTGGATCACGGGCCGTTTGGTAAAACTTATTTGCAAGGTCCCTTTGACCGAACAAATGAACCAAAGGGGTCCGACTTGGTTTTTGGCGAACATAATATCAACAAGCCAAAATGATTCCGGACAGCAGCTCCAAACCATCCCAGAGCTTCTTTGGGCAGAGACCCCAAAGCTTCATTACAGCGACCCTCCTTTTCACAAACCACAAGCGAGAGTACAAATCCGGCCAAATGCAGACCACCGACTCGAGGCTAACTCAAAATTGATTGTCGGTTTTCACTTCCCGAGTGGATTGCCCAAAAAAGTCCAAGCTTTGTTTACCACTAAAGCGGTCTTCCAAACGAGAATAAAATTCAGAGCTCAGCTTCCTTCTGATTAGTGGCTTGGATAGGTGTTTTGGTGGTTGAGGGGTGGGTACCCTTCTGGGCGTGTTTCGCCATCTTCAGTGCCATTGTGTGAGGATTCGACGTTCGCAAACGTGACCGCCGTGTCAGACAATCCTCAAACAACCAATCCAAGCACTTTCAAAGGGCCTGAAAGGAGCAAGTGCCCTTTTATTTGTTGGTCACAACCCCGTTTTGTCAGACTGTTTTCTAGCCCCCACGCACGTGAAAAAAACGGCCTCTATAGCATAACAGGTTGGTTGCAACCCCCTCTGGAAGAAACGATCCCTCTCTCTCTCTCGCTCGCAGCTGAGTGGCGGACACCCCCCTCCCCGACTTGGATGGTTTGGGGCTTTGTCCCATGCCCTTTAGATTTTTCATATTTTGTGGGGCGGGAGGGATTTGAAAGGGCAACCAACGGAAAAAAAAAAAGGATGCCGATTGTCTTTCAACCCAAAGAATCTCTCTATTGACCACAATTTTGGCCACACAAGTTTGGATAAATCCCTTTGGAGGTCTGCGGGGGGGTGCGCTGCTGGGTCCCTTGGATGTTCCTTGCAACCATGCTAGGTCAATGCAAGTGTCTATAGTTCAGCTCCACCTGAGGGCACGCAACATGCTAGTAACCATGTTCTCTGATTTGCCTAAACCACAAGGGGATGATGGCTTGTCTTGCACAGCCCGGATTTTGTAAGCTGAAGGCAATCACTTGAAAGCAAAACGGGCACCACAGGTTCACACCGACTGGGTTCTGGTTGCTAGACAATCAGACCTGTGGCCGTGGCAGAGAAGAGAACTAGCTTTTGGTGCTAAGAACCCCCTCCAATTGAAGAACTTCTGCGCCTACTGTCCCCCCCCCCCCCAACACAAAGTGCTCTTCGCTTCGTGCTCTTGGGGGAACACGAAGCAAGTCAACTAAGTTGGAGTCGGCCAAAGATCCAATCCAAAAGTTGTTGGGGCACTAGGTTTCTTCAACGAAAGGGCACAGGTCTGAGCTCTGGGCGCCCTCCGCGTAAGCTGCGGGACATGCGAAGGCCTGGCTCGAGCACGAAATAGACGTCTGCGCATCAAGCCAAATTGTTCAGGGGTGCTAAACCGGTTTGTTTTTTGCGTCAGAAGTTACCAGTTAACAATGGGTGTCTGAGTATTTTCATGCGGTTCTGGAGGTGTATTTGTGCAATCATGGAAGTGGACGTTTGTTTTTGCCTCGTTGAAAAGCATGGTAGTCTTCCACACCCACCACATCCACTTCCATGATTGGAAAGAGGGTTATCTCCACTGCACCCCCGAAATGGTGCTCTCCCCGGTTGCCCAACGGTTTCCGGATTCGTTGGCTTCGCCCTTTGTTTCACAAACACTCGGGCAACTCGGTGCTGCCCTCGCACTAAGTCCACAATATCTTCACATTTCGTCAGACCAGCAGTCCCAAGCATGCTGTCTGTGGCTCGCTCAGGATGGTATTTGAGGCATTGCATGTTGTAGAATTCCACAACCGCTGAGTGTGGCTTCGACAGAACCAGACTGCGGCATTTCTCCTCCGAGCTTGAGGAACTATTTTCCAACGTAGACAAGTTCACCAGCATCGAGTCTGCTCAAGCAGTCCAACACCCACGACGGGCCTTGGCGGAGCCAGCTGACACACGAAATCCGCGGGCGCCGGATACTTCAGCATCTTGCCCTTACCCTTACCCTTGCTCACGCCACTGGTGTTGCTGGCGCTGTTGCCTATGGAATTGACAGGCCGAACATCTTCCTTATATTGGCATGCAGTCTGGATCTGTGGAATCCGGCTTTGATTTGGGCGCAGCCTTGGGCGGATTGCCTGAGGAGGCTGAGTTGGCTGTAGAATGCAGGGCAAGTGGTTCCTCCTCTTGATCATGATCTTGACCGTCCGCCTCTGTGCCCTCCAACTCCTTGCGCAGCAGAGTGTTGCAAATACAATACAATCGAGTCTTGTCAAATCATTGAAATCCAGGGTGGCGAACAAGAATTTAGATTTGTGCAGCTGAAGTCACAGCTTAGTTTTGCGTTTGCTAACTATCCTATCAGATCAGACTATCAGATTAGACTCCTGAACAAACCGATTTCGTCTCGTCAAATGTCCCTTTTGATCCACGGCCCTTGGAACGTCGCAAGCACCAATTTGTCAAGTCCAGAGTGGGACAGCTGCCTATTTAAGCATGTTTAAACACCTACTGGTTGAAGATCCTCCTTATGAATGCCCTTTCAAGTGGATCACGGGCCGTTTGGTAAAAATATTTGCCCAGGTCCCTTTGACCGAACAAATGAACCAAAGGGGTCCGACTTGGTTTTTGGCGAACATAATATCAACAAGCCAGAATGATTCCGGACAGCAGCTCCAAACCATCCCAGAGCTTCTTTGGGCAGAGACCCCAAAGCTTCATTACAGCGACCCTCCTTTTCACAAACCACAAGCGAGAGTACAAATCCGGCCAGATGCAGACCACCAACTCGAGGCTAACTCAAAATTGATTGTCGGTTTTCACTTCCCGAGTGGATTGCCCAAAAAAGTCCAAGCTTTGTTTACCACTAAAGCGGTCTTCCAAACGAGAATAAAATTCAGAGCTCAGCTTCCTTCTGATGAGTGGCTTGGATAGGTGTTTTGGTGGTTGAGGGCTGGGTACCCTTCTGGGCGTGTTTCGCCATCTTCAGTGCCATTGTGTGAGGATTCGACGTTCGCAAACGTGACCGCCGTGTCAGACAATCCTCAAACAACCAATCCAAGCACTTTCAAAGGGCCTGAAAGGAGAACGTGCCCTGTTATTTGTTGGTCACAACCCCGTTTTGTCAGACTGTTTTCCATCCCCCACGCACGTGAAAAAAGCGGCCTCTATAGCATAACAGGTTGGTTGCAACCCCCTCTGGAAGAAACGATCTCTCTCTCTCTCTCTCGCTCGCAGCTGAGTGGCGAACAAAGTCAAGTCTGCCAAGCTGAGCGCTCTGAGCACACTGGAGAGACAAAGGCCTGTGTGGAGGCGCATGCCGCAGAGATGCACTCCCCAGAGAAGCTCTGATCTTGAAAGACGTTCTCTACTGCCGAGTCGCGCCTGCCTACGGAGGAAAGCAAGTGAAGACATATTTGACCACCACAGAGAAGCTCCGGCCGGTGGCTAGCGCCTTTGTTCAAGCCTTCAAAGCCCAGGGCGGCGAAGAGAAATTCGGCCAAGCGCCCAAGGGTGGACTTGAGCGAGAGTTACAAACGGTTGCTGGATGAAATCCAGAGTAGCGATTAAAGCAATGCGACGATCGTTGGCGACAGTGCCAGCATCCAAGCATTGATGGGGTAGTCGCAGGTCAGTGGGCGGTGCCTTTTGGGGTGTGTTGTGAAGAAACGACCAGACCGGTCCACGAGTCTGACGAATCCAACTCCCCGCCTGCCCGGCGCAGTCAGCAAACCAGGCGCCATTTCACGCACCCAGGTTGTCTGCCCGGGGTTCCCGGGTCTAAACACCAAGCGACTTCGAAGTGCAAACAAAAAGGGGTGCAAACAAAAAGGGGTCCAAACCACGTGTCAAATAGGGCAGGACAAATCAAAGAAATTGCCCAAGGTTGGCTTCCTTCTGTGATTTTGTCTATGTAGCATCACGCAGGCGACAAGGGGAAAGCTGCGGACCAATAGTTCCTTCTGCAAGGCTCTGTTGCTGTCCGACTTGACCGCTCTGATGCAGACTCCCTCTTCTCCAAACCCAAACGACCTCAGGGTAGTACCTATGAACAACCATCGAAATCAGAAACAAATCAAAGGGGCTTAGGCCTGGTCTTCAAACAGGGACGTCAATCTCCCCTGGAGCCTTTCGCACAGATTTATCATGTCCACTCTGATCGTCTCCTGAAATTCGACAACCTGCTGTTGGGCTGTGAATTGACCAAAAAGGACACCTGCTGAAAGGGCTGAAGCATTTTCGTCAAGCTGCGCTGCGGTCGGCAGCGTGCGCTGTGTGAACGGGCGGCTTACCGCCCTACATCCCAAACACCCAGTGCCTTTTCTTCTTTTGGAGGGGTCCCTTTAAAGCTCACTTCCCATCGACAGGCCAGCAAAGGCAACCAATCATTTCTTGTTCATTATACTAACATGGTCAAAACCCAAAAGTATAAAGTCTCAGGGGCTCAGGTGAGAACGTCAAATACCAAAAGCCGGGAACATTAATTGCTTTCAAGGACTCTCTGGTGGGTTCCATGTGGAAGGATATGCCGTAGCTGGCTGATCTTATTTCAGCCCGAAATGCCCATGGCTTCAATGTTGAGCCCTTCCTGGATGTTTAGCCGAATACGTTAGGCGGCTACAACCATGGTTATAACTCAGGAAACCCCTGTTGGTTGACGTATAACTGTGGTTGTAACCTACGTGTTCAGTGGTTTGAAGATAAGGAAGTCAAGCAGCCCAGTATCCCTAGGCCAAAAAGGGTAGATGTTTCCCACCATGATCCAAAACCAACAAGTATGCTCACTTGCCCAAAGGACCTAGAAAAAAGGTTGACCTTTTGGGACCTGTACTGAAATTGGACCAAAAGGAACATTTCAAAAGGTTAGATCCGGTCGGTTTGCAACTGAGTAAAGTCCAGCAACTCCAACAGTGAGACGTTGCCTGAAGAGGGAGTGGAATCTGAACGACTCGCTCAACTTTTGGGACGTCAGGCTGGGTGTGATTTGCCTTGTGACGGTTGAATTTCTTGGTGGGAAACCGAAGAAGAACACCCAGTCATGTGGCTAGTCTTGGGGGTACCCCTTTCAGGCTAGTTGAACAATGTCCAAGGGAAAGCCACCATTCTCCTCTGTTGACACATGCCCAAGTTGCAAGCAGCTAAATATGTCCTACAAGCGCATTAAACAATTCTGGGCGAAGTGTGTTGGGGGGCCCCATGTCGAAAACCCATGAAGACCCCTTGAAAGAAATCTAGCACGTGGGTATGGTGGTGGGGGCATGTGTTTCGGGCATCCCAAAGGGTGTCCAAATTGCCATGACGCCAGCCCCCCCCCCGCTCTGGGCTCCGGCTGTCCACAGACACCGCCCTGGCGTGCGAGCACGAAGGCCTGGCGAGACCCGGTCGCGTGGTCGCGCAGCTAGGGCTCTGGTGTTTCCTGAAATAAAGAAGCGCTACGTGCTGGGGTTACAGGGGTTTGTTGTTTTCCCCGGATGGGTGAAGCAAAGGGTTTCTTTTCGGCAAGCGCTACACGGTAGGGTTGCAGAAGGTTAAACAAAGGGAAGAACAATATCGCTACAACGATCAAACAAAACATGTTTGTTCATTTTTCTCCACCTCAAACAAACATCGACGACGGTCGACCTAGGTCTTTTTGTACGATATCTCTTGGACCCGCGCCCTGTCCCACTTCTTGCAGGTTGATCATAGAACCCAAAAGGATATTGGAACCGGCGGGGAGGCACGGTCAGGCGACCCCCAAAGCAACCCCTTTGGCGCAAGCTCGCATAAGCCGAAGTGGATTTTCAGAAAATCTGGCGGATGATGCTTGCTCCTGGCATGGCACCTGCGTACCTGGAAGATATGTTCTCTTTCACGGACAATTTCACTGTTGTCAGAAGCTTGTGGGAGACAATGAAGGTTTCCAAACAGGAACAGCCCCTAGGCAGCAGACGTTTGGTTCCCGTACCAAGGTCTGAATACCAGTTTTGCCCGTCCAATGCCAAAGCAGCCTTTCAGGTGGTGCTAGCTTTCTCCAAGAACCCTCCAACTTAGCTTTTGAGCGTCCGCCAACCATTCCCTTCATAGGGTCCGGGGCATGCTAAGAAGAAATGTTGCAGGTTTGGTTAGCATGTTCAAGGAGAAGGCTGTTACACAGCCTGGACCACTACAAAAAGTGGATAGTATCCGCCCAAAGACATGAGGGCATTGAAGACCTGAAGCGCGAAATGCAAACTGTCAGAGTCCAATCCTCCGGAATGGGCCCGATGTGATGTTCAACATCAAGAGACTCAAACGACAGGAAGCCAAGGGCAGCGCAATGAGATCCGAGTCCCTTGGTGAGAGAAACGTAAAATGTAAACACCTAGTGTATGCGCCGTATGTATCTTCACCTCACCACTACGCAAAGTGTATCCGAGCTCTGGCCCAGACTTACGAGAACTCACAATGAGAGCGGGTGTCCCTGGATGCGTCTGGATGAAGCCCCCAGTTTACGCGATACACAGGCGAAGGGAAAAGTGGGCCAATGAGGAGTGCGGATCGACGGACTATGTTGTCCCTGATTGTAGTTGGTACCCTTAATACAGCGATAGTGAGCCTGAGGTGTTTCCCCAAAGCCACACCTTACTGTAAAACCAACCAAGAGGGGTACCGAGCCGAGCCTCAAAGGAGAAAACAAATTGGCACGATCTTTTCGGGGCTGCATTTTAAAGGTGCCCACCCTCTCCAAAGAGGAACAACGGACTTTGGTGTGTCTTTTTTCTGGGGACCCCCACAAAATGGTGGGTTTCCTTATGGCTGCCGCTTTGAAGCCACAAAGCTGTACCCTCAAAAAAGACACACCCATAGTTCGGCACCCTCTGAACGTCGGGGAAACTAACGAAATATGTGTTCCTTCTGAGCGCTCGCCTGCGCCCCGGCACCAGCGAGGTATCGCTCCAAGAAGGCAGCGTCAAAGAGGAAGAGCGCGAGGAACCCGGCGGTCTGGCGGTTTGACAAAACCAACTGCTCTAAGACGGTGTCCATTCCCAAACCACCCAAGGATGTCTGCCCTCGTAGTTCATGGCATCTTAATAGCAAAGATGTTTTTTGGCACGGAAGGAAAAGAGCTGAGCACTTGTGTTTAAACAATAGTTGGCTATGTATTTAGCTAAGCTGACATGTTTTACTATTTGTTGAATAACACATAGTTCTACTTGCATCAGGGAAACCCATTGACTTTGGGCATGTTCATTAAAAACAAATATGGCCCTTTCTATGACCCCCATCAAAGCGCAGCTTGCGGCGTCCCAAAACCGAAACGAGACCGCTAGAAGTTGCCCTGTCTTTCCCTCCATTAGTTTCTTGTAACTTGGCACAGTTCTTTCAATCAAAGTTCCCTGTCAGCTGCACACCAGGTCCCGCACATATGGTTTTGCCCCTGATACACAAACAAGTTTGCTTTACTGCCCTGTTCGCTGGATTTGAAAGAACGCGGACTTGCAAAGAGGTATGGGTTATGGCTTATGAATCTGCAGTGACACTGGATTTTGCTCAGCCGCCTTGTTTGCTGGTTTTGAAAGCTGTATGTAGGTCCCCGCCGTGCACTAACATGGGTACAAAATTGAATAGGGGACCTTTGGTGGACATTATTTATGGAGTTCATGTCCATCGACTCACTTTTGAGGTGGTTCCCGAAAACTCAAAGCCATATGCGGGGGGGGTTGTCCAAATGAGGCAAAAGGGGCCATTCTTGAACATGGCAAGAAGCGGAACTAATCACAAAAACAAAGGTCGTGTGGACACTTGGGGCCAATGTTGCAAGCACCTTCATTGGCTCCCCCTACAGAATAGCATAGAACTATATAAAGAAAACACCATTTGTAGAGGGAACTCCTTGTGGGGGACCCCCCAGTTGGGCTCCACGTTTATAGGGGAATCCACTCTGTGGCGTCCATGACCCTCGTATGGGTCTGGGTCCCCAAATCGTCGCCTTGAGCAGTGCCAGCAGCGGCAAGCACAGCGCCAGGCCGACCTCAAGCCGTTCCGAAGGCCCAAGGTGCGGATGGCATCCCAAGGTGCGGTTCCTTTAAGGGACACCCACCTTGTGCTTCGTTGTAAAGAAGCTAAAAGGCTAACCACCATGTTTGGATGGTCACCTCAGCTCTAAGCTGAAGCCAAACTCAAATATTGAAAGGAAATGAGGCCCCCCCTTATGTCGTGGTACCCTACCATAGTTTTTGTTGAGCGGGTGTACTTGCAATGTTTGGGGCATCTAAATGGTATTGGTACCTAGGTTTTGGTGGCTCGCTAGACGACCTTGCCAGTACTTAGATGGCCATTCTACATGAATTCTAGAGGTCATATACTGGACATGTGTTCCCAAAGAGCAGCGTCTTTTCCGCATTGCGCGCTGTACAAAGCCATTTCCTATAGAAATCGGCTGATAACACTGCGTTGAATCCATGGATTTCTGGCTCGGATCCCATCTGGTGTGGGATCTGAGCAGAGATGACTGATGGCTCATTTGAGACTCGAATCTGGTTCCACCCGTCGGGTTGCTATCGCGCCGACTCAGCTGCGGATGTGCATGCCATCGGTGAGGCTCAGTGCCAATTTCCTTGAGTCATAGTTGCGAAAAATGAGCCGGCTTCTTGCGGGACACCAAAGATGGCCCTGTTTCTGACTTCACTTGGGTGATTCGGTTCCCTTCGCATCACAGGCATTGACCCTTAAACCTAGTTGTCCACGACCATGAACCCGTCATTGGCGCTTTTGCGGACCTGTTGAATATTAATTCTCGGAGAACTGCGGCGCCAACGGATCAGTCACTGCTCCAAAACTGCTTCCAGCCGCTTGCATGATTGGTGTACAATCAAAGGAAAGTCAAGTAGCCGCTGTCTGCCAAAGCCCACATGGCATAGTGTTTTACTTCAGGACTGGATAGAACAGAACAGGACAGGACAGAGAGGGTGTCAGGCTGGCAGGCAAGCAAGCAACACATTCGAAAGAAACACATCCCAAATCCAACACACGAAGGACCTCCCCTTCATTTCGCGGAGCGGGGCTCGTGGTCTGCAGAAGCTCCTTCGCATCGCGACAGAAGATGAAGAACCGTATCGTCTCCACCGCTGGCCAGGGCAAACGTAGTGGGGGCCTGCAGTTGGCAGGGCCAAACCAACCACACTGCCGCTTTTTGGGCTAGAAAATCTGCTCAGGCGACTGGCCAAGGCTTCACAGATTTTAGGCAACCCTAAGAATCTGGGACCTCAGCAAGACATGAAGTCCAAACCCTGCCAGTCATATCATCTATCCGCAATAAGTTTCATGGAAGCTGTAGGTGTGTAGAGGGGTCACGTGTCTTCCAATCCCAAGGGTTCTGCAACTGGCTCATCTTACAGGCGCCAGCCCGCATGTTCGTCAATGTTGCTGTGGGATTGACCGACACCACCCCAATAAAGGCGGTTTAGGGATGGGGCCCCTGACAAAAAGGTAGCTGCCTTTGGCTAATCCATTCAAACCAAAAAGAACAGTTGCCGGGACTGGTCCTAATACATCGGGCAACAGGCAAAACACTGTGCAAAGACCGAGCCCAAATGTTTGGATGTCACACGCCTGCGGCCAAGCAAACTGGGCTTCTTCCTCCCTTTTAAACTTCCCCCAAAAGGAAAAAGCATCATTGGCCCAGAAGGCGATGTTCACCGAAAGAGGGCCTAATATACATGGGTGTTCGATCCAGGGCGTGGTTGGATAACAACCTAGGGTATAACGTCCTTACAAAAGGGGACTTATGAGTGGGTTATAGCCTTGGTTGCTGACCACCAACTTGGCTGAACACCCGAGCAACTGGGGTGCTCCAAAGGTCGAAAGACCCCGTCACTCGAAATTTGGTCCTCGGAAACAGAACGCAACTAGACAGGACAAGATCAATGTTCTAGCGTTGTGCTTTGGTCGTTGCTTCGAGGCTTGGAGGAACCAAGAAATACGGATTCCCAGCATTGCCCCACCACAGGAAGCTGGTGATGACTGGAAACCACCAGAAGAGGACCTATGGATCTATCTCAAAGTTGGGGACCCAAGAATCGTTTCCTTTTTGATGCCCTTTACTCACTAAAAGGGGTCCACTTTGGGAAACAACCATAGGGACCCCTGTGGAAGCCATAGCTTCGCCGTCTTAGCCCAAGGTGCTCTCGCAAGATCTCCACGAGGGCGCTTGACAGCTCCTCTCGAACAGCAAACAGCGAGAACCAAAATGGTCCAACCGGGTTTTCGGGTTGGCTTGCGGTTTTAAACAAAAGCACTGAGTTCAACATTCAAACACAAGAAGTTAATTTGCTTGAAGGCTTGAGAGCAACCCAAAATCCGACGATGATTAACAGGGTTTGGGGTATCCCACTTTCCGCCAGAGTGGAGAAATAGCAGTCTTCCCAAAGCTTAAAAGGTTTTGTTGGGCACGCTAAAGTTGAATGTGGTTCACATGTTGCTAGCACCCTCCAAGGACTGCTGTCCATCCTCAAGCTCTCAAGAGTCAGTAGTTCCGCAACCAGAAATAAGGAATCCAAATAAAGGACCTACATCATGGGTTGTCGCTGGTTTACCCCAAGCTCGTTCTAAGATAATTTGGCAGCAGGATACCCCCCAGATCGCCCTGCGGGCTTGGGTTGAAACCAATCCGCCCAAACCAGGGGTCAAATGAACTTCACCTGGGTTGAGCAAGGAAAAAAACAAAGCAACCCTTTGTGGGATAGCAAGGAAACAGTAATTCGCAAAAGAAGCTCAAAGGTTGTTTCCTTTGAAAGAGCGACCAAGCTTCAGTCCTTCTGGACCCAGAATAACTTGCTCTTTTCGAGAAAAGTCAAAGACACAACTCGGGTCCTCATCCTTCTGGTTCAGGAACAGGGCGGCCCGCGCCTCCCACAAGGGGACACACCAGGGGTAATCCTTCACCATGTCCCTCGACCCATTTCAGTTGAAGTGGTGCGGTGTCAGGGTTTCTGCTGAGCCACAATGCCAAGGATCCTGGCCCACATGTCAAAACGCGATGTTGTTGGGGGCTTTATTCTGACCGAGTTGTCAACAGCCACCTGGCTATTAGTCACAATAACAAGCGGGGTGCCTGCAAGAGCGAATGCTCGCCTGCTCCCTTTTGCTCGTTGCTTTGTGGTAAACTAGATAACCCATGTCACCCCTGCTCATGTGCGATCCGTCCAGCCAAAAACCAGCCCACTTGTGGTATCCCAGAAAATGCATTGACGGACCCACCGGTGGCACGTGAGACCTCCAATCCTTGGCCCTCCATTGACTCGTAGGCCTTGTGGCTCGTAGGGCTTGGACGCAGGAGCCGCCCACCAATACGTTCCAAAGTTCCACAATCGATCCGTGGTCAGCGCACAAAAAAGACGGGTTGGGATGTTCCTAAGAGAAAGGAGAGGGGTGCAACGCAACCAATCAAAAGGCAGCAACCCCCTTTGAGGTGCCTCGTGCCTTGTGCCCAATGATTCAAGGCTGCAAATCCCAAGATGGCGCACCTACCAAAGCCCCAAAAGACTGCCGGGACCCCAAGCCCACATCTGAGGTACACAGAAACCAATGTGCTCAGATACTGTTCCATATTTAGTCTGCAAGTTTTGATTAAGTATATCCTTCGAGCGTTGCGGGACCCGTACCCAAACGAAACAGTTGAGGCACCTAATTGGGACAACTTCATGATAGCAAAAACAAAAACAAAAACCTTGTTTGCAATTGAACCGCCTGGACCGGCTTTCGTCTCTGCTTCTCGCCGATGTGATCCTGCCTTGTGGCCCTGGCACCTCCCAATCGCCTTCCCGCCTCCCGCAGGGTGCGCCGGATCAGCGCCAAGTCGCGGCCCGTGTTGAGCCAGTGGCTCTGCGCTGCGCTCAGCGCCTGCGCCAGCACCTCTCGACCAAGGCGGCTGGATATATAGGGAACTCACAAACAGCAAGGGATTTGCCCTTAAGGGTCATGACCCGTCCAATTCACACCCCGGACCCTCCAATGGAGAACCCTTGAAAATTGCTTTGAGGGCCCAAAACAATCGAGACCCTTAGGGTGGCTGTGTATCATTTTTGGGGGACCCCCCGAAAATTGCGGTTTTACTTGTTGGTGTCCCTTTAACATCCAAAAAAAAAACTGTGCCCTGAAAAAAGGAGGATGGGGCCGCTGACTGGGGTGCCAGGCCGCATGGACACCTGGAGTCTATTTGTTTTGCAACCATGGTTTGGGTCGTCAAAGAGACGTCGCCCTATGTCCCTCCCTAATCCATAGATAGAGACTGCAAGTCGTTGACGGTCTTGGAGGCTCGCAGGGCGGGGGAGTACCTGCTGAGTACCTGAAGCCCCAAGTGTCTGACTCTGATAGCGAAGCTACAGGCTCGGGTTGATGGATCCTCTTTTGAAAACGACGTGAGTCGCATGGCGTTGACGGAGTCCGACAACGCATCTTCCTGCCAGCTTCCAGATTGGATGTGCCTTTGGGTGAGGGTATCCCCTTTTTTGTTGGTTTAAAGGGAAACCAAGAGGAAAACAACAGCTTTTGGGTGGTTCCCTAAAGACGCGCACATTTTGTTTGGAAGGGTAGTCAATGTCAAAGGATTGGAGGAAGGCCCTGAAATGAATTCCATGGAAGCCACCAGGCCCCTGCTCTCAAATTACCTTTTTCAGGCTCCGACGTGAGTCCATAAGGTCTCTGGTCAAATTGCGATTCACCCACCGAAAATAGGAAATGGACCCCTCAGAAAGAAGCCTTTGCCGTGGCATCGCAAATCCCCGGTTCTGGAAATTGACCGTGAGGTTGCTTCTGAAGACACACCTTGCTATTTTGGTCACTTGCCAACGGCTGTTCCTGGGGTTGGCATGTAAAAAAAATAATGGTGGCAACCATCCAGAACCGATCAGTTCGAAATCAGCAAATCCAGATTGGTGCATCATGCAAAGCCCATCTCAACAGTGGATTGACAAATGCCACACATGCTTTCATGTTGGCATTGCTAGGCATTTGTTCAGAGCAAAACGATCCACTGTTTGGTACTCTTTATTAATTGTGATTCGGGCACGAGCCTGTGCCCAGGCAATGGGTAAGTTGGGGTAAACAAGCCACAAAAGAAAGGTTCCCCAAAAGCAAACAATCCCCGGTCCCAAAGATCAGGGTTTCCCACACACCAGAGAACAACAACCAAAAGGGAAAAACCAAAACAAGTAAACAAGTACCCGCAACCTTGATCGACGATGAACCGCACGGGCGGACCCCACCAATCTGCCCCGGGCCGATGTCTCTTTCTCCACCGACACGAAGGTGATCGACGCGGGGACCCGGCGACGCTCATCCGAGGCGCGACGGACCCGCAAACTTGAGCCAAACATCACAGGTCAGTCACTACCGCGACATCCCTGTTGATGAAATGAATCATGGCTAATCACACCCCCCTCACGAGGAGCCCGTCATATGACGGGTGGAGCGTGCCATTTACTGATAGGATTTAACTGCTCGCATGCGTCCGCAAACAGCTGGACACTACCGCCGTCAGCGGTGGAGCAAACCCACAAAGGCAGTTGCGCGACATCCCGGGCATTAAATTCCCGCCACCACCCCGAATTAATCGGGGTAACGCTGTCCAACATACCTTGTGGAAAAGTCCACGTGACGACACTAGGCCACAACTGTTTGCATCAACAATGCAAGAAGTTTAATTCTTATCAGAAGCCATGAAAAAGAAGATAACGTATGTCCATTAGCACCCTCGCCTAACGGCAAGAGGTACTCCTGACCATGCGTACCTGAAAAATGCTTGAATTCCGCAAACCCGGGAGTAACCCCCCATCAGTTTGCTTTCCCCCTCACTCACACTGCTTCCTGATGAACACGACCAGCAGCCCAGCAGCGGTACGGGAGGGACATGACCTCCGCGCCTCAGCGGTCCGGGAGGAACATCACCACCTCCGCACCGCGCCGACCATTGGAGAATGGACGCTAGCCTACCGGCCGCAATCCTCGTGACTCAGCCTATCGGCTATCATCACGTCTCCTCCGGTCACGTCCGCCCCGCGCGCGGTCTCTGTCACGATCCCTTTCGGACCTCCTGCGATCATCTCGCCTTCGATCTCGCTCCCGATCTAGTGAATCATCATCACGACGATCACGAGCATCGTCCCTCCTCCGGTCGCGATCATCCTCGCGCCGCGGACGGTATCTGCGCCTTCTCGATTCTCTGGAATCCCTGGTGTCCACGGTCCTAACGGACCTCCGAGAAGGAGTGCGGGAAACATCCGATTCCCTACGTCTTCTCCCAGAGCGAGAATTCGTCACGATCTGGTTGAGAGCCTCCAGTGCTGACGCGTCCTCACCATTTCTAATGAAATCCTTGACTTGCTTGTTCAGCACTCTGTTGGTGGAGACCGCCAAGAGAGCGTCCACCACCGAACTCTCAGGCAGCACCAGGAAGTGACCCTCCACCGGGCTCGCCGCAGTTCGCTCAGCCGACTGCAACCTGATCTCACCGCCTTCAGGCTTCTTTGCCATTGCCTTGGAGCCGTCAGAGGCGCTACCGCGTCCTTTGCCGAAGATCTACCAAGCGCAGAGTGAAGATCATCTCCACTAGCCTCTCTTGCTGCCGCACCTGGTCTGCTGTCAACGTCATCAGGCCTCGTCGATGCCTCTCGCTTCGTCGACTCCTTCACAGTCTCGTCAGGATCCCAACGGGACTTCCTTTCTCTCTTCTGCCCTTCAGCCGACCCCCGACTACCGCCAGGAGCGTCGTCTCCGCCTACCTTCTCCTTCTTGACCTCAACCCTCGGTTCGGCCTGCTTCGTCTCCTTAGCCTCAGCCTTCGGAGCCGGAGCATTCTTCGCCTCAGACACAGAAGCGGCCTTCCCTTTTGGCTCGGCCTTTGGAACCGGGGTCGTTTTGGCCTTTGCGCTCGGCCTGGCTCCTTCAACCACCATCGCGACCCAAGTCTTCTTCGGTTGGGCCACAGTTGCATCAACCTCCATCGGAGCCGGCCCAGCATCAGCCTTCGCTTTTGCCTGCGGGACAGACGGACTAACGCCCTTACCAGACCCTTTTCCTGGCACTTCACCTGACTTTGGTGGTGGGCCGGAAGGGCTACCGCCCTTACCGCCCTTTTCCCCCTTCTTCCCTTTTCCTTTTCCGCCCTTGACGATCGGCTCCTGCTTAGGACCAGGACCCTGTGCAGCATGATGCACCGATTGAAGCCCTTCGATGTCCACGTCTAATGGCTCCGGTTGACGACCATCAAGGACCGTCCTTACCCTTTCGTCACTAACGTAGACGAATGGGTCACGGAAGGGAGCGGGAGGCTCCGACTGCCCGGCACTGATTGCCTTCTGCACCTTGGCTATCGCCTCCTTCAATCTCTTCTTCTCATCGTACCCGGTCCCGACACCATGTACCCCCTGAGTTGCGATATCAACGCATGACTGGCCAGGATGTCCACGTCCTTCCGATGGGTCGGATACAATGGGGTCAGATGACCCGCCGCGGAGCCAATCACATACGCCATCGGGATGTAGAAGGATAAGTACGTATCATGACGAGCGAACTTCCTAACGGAAGTCGTCATACGCCTACCCCACTGAGCAGCATGCCTCGGGTTAGCTCGGAAATACTCAGTGACCGAATCAAATCTATCGACTTGATTGGTCATAATCAGGTGCTTCGCCACCCACTTCTCCACGAACGCATCCGAGGCCGAAATCCCCGACACATAGGAGAATTGGAAGAGCACCTTCGCCAGCTCATCCCACGCCGTATCAACTCCTCCCTTGTCTTCACCAAGATAAGGGGGCAGTCTGATGCCGCTCTGCACCGTCATCCTCAGGTCAGACGCCATCGAATAGGAAATCAAGTTCCTCTTGATGACTCCGACCACTTCGGAGGGGATCCTCTTGGGCTTGAACTGTCCCATGGTCCTCACCCACTCCGGGACGATACGGCACCTCTCGAAGTCATTTTCCTCCGCGTTGGGGATAAAGTTCGGGTAGAAGACCGGGAGTGCACACCCAGGACACAAATGCATCCCATTTGGCGTCATCTCCGCGCACCTCAAACAGAACGTGGTGGTCACATTCAACCTGACCTCCTCACGCGATCGCCTGTGCTCTCCCCTAACGGGGGTGAAGTCACCATAGTCCCATACCCGATGGTACACTATCGTGTAATCATCGTACATGTATGCTGCCTTCCAAGCTCCCATGTGGATCTCGTTCCGAACCGCAAGGGTCTTCCTCCTCGTCAAAAACACGGGTCCAACCAAGGACCAGTGCACCCGAAGGTCCACCATCACCACCACGTACCTACCCGAGTAGTTCCGCAGCCTGTCCCTGACGTACCACGAAGGCGATACCTCGGCATTCGGCGCCATGGTTCCCACAAGTGGGATCAGGCCCTCATCCTGCCTTCCATCTCCAATGGTCTCGTACACATCGGGCCTCGTGATCAATATCTCGATCATGGCCTTTCCGTTTCGCCTCACCCTTTGGAGCTGAACCGCCTTCCTAAAGTCCGAGAACTTCATGACGACGTACCCCACCATGGGGAGTTCATTCCAATGCATCTCGTACATCAGAGATCCACCAGGTGCATCCTCTTGAGTGTACCTTTGCCTAACGGCACTGTAGCTCATGTCGCGTCCGATCCGCGTGTGCCTAACGGCCACTAACCTAGTGCTCTCCTTGAGGAGGACACCATTCCCATCGTACATGACCATGAGCATCGCCTCAACTTGCCCTATCGGGAAAGCTTTGATCGTCGGAATGAAGAACTTCCACGACATCTCGGCGTTCTCCATGCCCGAGATCTCCCTCAGGAACCAGATGGCCTGGTCACTATTCACCCAGTTTCCAGCCTCACACCCGGTTTCCTTCAGCACACGTTCCTCGAAT